TGGAATTTAAAAAATAATGAATATGCCTCCGACTGTGTTGAGAAGAAAGTGTTTTGTGATGGATGACGTTGCTGTACGCCATGTTGACCAGTGTGTTGCTAAAGGCTTAAGGGAGAGTTAAAATGAGCTCTGCCTGTTAATTGTTTTATCCACAGTTGGCCAAGTTGGAGAGCTCATTACCCACTAATACAGTCTAATAGCTTGGTGGAACATCAACAAGATAGCCTGGCCAATAAGATTTTAATTGGGCTTTAAAGTTGTTGTCTTGGTCAGCATTTGTCAATATATTTTCCAATGTCCTCAAAGTATAGTGATTGTAGTATGAATATACATTAAATAGGGGTTAGGTAATATATGGGTCAGCCCTTTGTACATGACATACACATGCTTTGGATGGGCGTGGATACATATTGAATGAGAGCATCCCATCTGGGCTATCAGTGATGCCATGACGTCAAGGCCTCTTGCCATTGGCCGAGCTGGGTCTGCTGCGCCATCAGCGATTCGCTGTAAATAAACTGTCTCCACATCAGTGAACGCTTCCTCTCACACCAGTTTTGAGCCTTTTGTTGTAAGTGAGCATGCGTACACTGACCCCAAACCTGCAAGTACACAATGTACAGATATACAGTATGAAGAGTTGTGTTTTTAAATGAGAAGTATTTTGTCACTTAAACTTAAAAAAAACAATTGGAACTAATCAGTAATGGTACTTTTGAATAGCAGCTTGATCTTCAAATTTAGTCTCAGCAATTACAGTTTTCTTTATGTCCCGTTCGGTCCAACCTCAGCGGCTCACCGCTCCGGAGTCGGGCTGTTAATTATTTCTTGGATTAGTGACACACACCGCTGAGGGTAGAAAAGAAGATGTGACCTTAACCTAATGAGGTTAATAATTTCACTGCACGCGTTGAGCTGAATCCCACCAACAAACTCTCTTTAGCACGCCCCCTCGCCACCATTTTGTGTTCCCCACAAGTGCGCGCTATCTTCAACCAGGGTGGCCTCTCCTCTTTGTTCTCTGCAGTTCCTCTACTCAACAACTAATGGTGTTTTCTTCACTATTGAGATACAATGTTGGTGTTTGGAGTATTATTTTTCTAAGCATCACCTCTTTTATCTGCCGTCTAGCTAGCCATCTTGTTTTGATCGTCTTGGTTCGTGCAGTAATGCGGACTGTGTGCGCGCCTGTGTGGGAGCCAGCATGGAGGTACACGTGAGGCGTGCTCCAGGGGAGACCCATACTGTGAGTGTGTGTGTGTCCAGTGTCCATCCACTGATGAGGAGTGACAAGACAGCTAAAGGCATGTCTGCTACAACATAAACATGCTCCTTGAGATCACTTCTTATCAATGTGAGCGTTGCAGGAGGTGGATATTGATATTATTTTAGCGCAAATGCACTCACTCTTCATTATAAACTGAAGAGTTGTGGAATAGGATACCACTCCTGTGTCCACCACCATCACAGAGAGGATGTTGCAGGAAACAAAACAGAAAAGACGTGAAGGAACTAGAGGTTGCAGACCGAAGGGTGTGGCTTATCAGTGGCCGTGCGCATGCTGACAGGGTGTGTGGTCAAAAGTAGCTAATCGTATTGGATGAATCACCTTAATCTTGGCTGACAGTTTACATAACAACAGAAGGGGAGGTGACATGAGTCCTTATGCAGTGACATCACAGCTCACCCTCCTATCTCCCACCGCCATGCACCCAATCATCTGAGAGTGTATATGCGATTCAGGCTTAGTCAGGGGGCAATCAGGAAGACTTAACATACAAACGCGCGCTCCCGCTGTACGCACACACACTCCCACTCCCATCCCTATCCTACACACAGCTCCATCCTGGTCTCCATTGTTGGTTAGGCTCCCCTATGTGAAGCTCCCAGAGCCGAAGGGAGCAGGGGGTTGGGGCCAAAGGGTGCAGTTCAGGAGGACGGAGGAGGAGCGGTGGTGGTGGTGGTGGTGGTGGTGGTGTTTATTTTGGGGTAATTTTGGTGGGGTGTGTGGGGGCGGCCAGGGCTTGGTCGGAGTGTGTGTTTTTAGCCTGAGCATCAATGAGGGAGAAGGGGCTGGCCGGGGCAGGAGGAGCAAAGGGCAGGGACGCCATGGCCCTAAAGCTGCTCTTCCGGGAGCTGGAGAAGCATCTGAAGAGGTAACGATAGCTGCAGTGTTGTCATGTTGTCAGGGGGTTGCGTCGGTGTGGCAGAGCCAGGTCTACTGCCGCAGCCTGGGGGTTAAAAGAGGGGGAATGCCAAGGGGCTTTGCTTTGATGTATCTGTCTAATTGTTGTTGTCGTTGTTGTGGCGTTCAGTTGGCTAAATCTTGTCCGGGCAATGTTTTCAGTAAGGGTGAAAAAAATAGGACCTTTAGTTGGAAAACATTTTCATGAAACTAAATACCTGTAGTTTCAAAATCTAACTTCATGAATGCGGTGCCATGAATGCGGTGCCAGCCTCTACCTGCAGCAAGGCATCGTGAATGAATTTCCCCTAGGGGATAAATAAAGTATATATATATTTATATATATATATTTGTCAAGGCACATCACCTCAGTATGTTCAAATTCCCGCTCAGCTGCCCTGAAGGGCAGCGAGTGTGTTTGAGGACAGAATGTTCCTGCTTCTGCACATGCATGTTGCTATGCGTGACTGTGTGTGAGTATGAAAGCGTGGTTGGTTCATAGTTCATACCCTCTAACATGGTTCTGGCCAGACTGAGACAGAAAAAATTCCTATCTTTCTGCTCTCACTTTCATTTTCTCTCCAATTTCAACTGCCAGATAAGCACCATGTTCCAGATCCTCTATTGATCCAGTCAACGCACATGTGCTTCCTTTTGCTCAGTTATCAGGCCACTAATAGACTTCAGTCTCCCGAACCCAATAAAACAGTATAAGTACAGCCTGCCCCACCTATAAAAACCCTTTTTTTTGCCCCAGCACCCAATTTGTACCTTTTCTCTTCAGTGTTTAATTGCAGTATTTATTTGTTTCAAAAAATGTTTTTGCATAAGCATACATGAATAGAGTCACCACAACATTGCATACATATGATGCGGCTCTTTTGTAAGGAAATAAAAAAGCAGAAGTAATGGAACTGGAAAAAAAAAGTTTGTTACCAAAAAACTTTATTTTCCAGTTCTCTAAAATCACTCAGTCCTATCAAAAGTTCCCATGACCAAACAGACAAAGATACAGGAAGTAAAATACAAATTTATGAGCAGGTTAAGGGGTCTTGTCTTCACTTCAGACAAGTTTCTGACCTCCAAACTTCTGTGTTGATGCGTAGTCCACTTCCTGAACTTGGTACCAATCAGTCCATGTTCCAGCCAGAGACAGATATAACAGCTAAGGTGCTTAAACCAGGGCAGGTGTCTGACGTACAGTCAGAGATCGCCCCACTGCTGATTTAAAGCTTAAGAGTACTGCTGAAGCTGGTACATGTGTCTCCTTGTCCGGTCACAGTTAATGAATGTGTGAATGAGCAGCAGTTAGAGGTCAGTTAGCTCATACTGATTAAATTAAATGTGTGATTGTTTGGTCAGAAGTATGACAAATACAGCCTGATTGTAGTAGACACCTGACAGTTTTAGTTTCAGTCTCTTTATCTCGACCACAACTGTTTTACACTGAATGTACTTCCTTTTTATTGTTTGTTTGGCCCAACTGTAGGTTTCCAAAGTGACCACATCAGTCCACGCCTACACATCTCTCACCATCAACTCAGATTAGGTTTACCTAAATTGATAAGTAACTGATAAGCATTGATCTGATCAGCTGCTCAAGTCATTAAACCCTAATCTATAATGTAATAGATGTGGTTAATTCAAGGCACCAGTTCTTTAAATTAGGCCTGCAACTAACTATTGTTTTTATTAATTATTAATCCATCCATTATCACGATTGGATTATGATAACCATGTTTGTAATTTGACTTTCTCACAATCTGTAAAGTGACAGAATTAGAGCAAAATCATTTTGCTCAGTTTTTTTGTTTTTGAGGATGTGTTGAGACAAGTATGAAAATAAGAAATATTTTAGTAACTTTGAGATGACACTTGAAATTGCCAAAGAAAATCCTACATCATGTAGATCTAGACCACCAAATATTTGGAATTTTGGTTTGATAAATTAAATTTAGACAAATAATTAAACATCAAAACTGATGGTGATTGATTTTCTGTCGATGGAGTCATTGTTCTCCTTGTCACACATCACAGAAACAAAAAAGCTGAGCCAGTTCCCTTGTCATTAATAGAGACTGGAGGGGTGGTCCAGTTTTACTGTAAAGCACGGAGCGTTCCCATTTCAGTCAAACTGATCTGAGGAGAACAAAGAAACTCGGCTTCTGCTGTGCCTGCCCTCTGACCCTTTTCTTCTATTGACACTCCCACGACTTTGGTGTGTTTATTTGCTTCAGTGACAGCTGGACAGTGCTGGGGTCAGCTTTTAGCCACTTTTACCACAGGGTCAGCCCACGGGCCTACAATTGATTATGTTTACTCAAATTACATGAAGCCTGTGTTGTAGTGTGTGAGACCCGTTTTAATGCATGACTCACAACCAATAGGTGGAGACATTGTTTCACATTGCAGCCTGTGATTGCTGACCAAAGTTTTCCCATCACCTGCATACCATATTTGAGTATGAAACCCCCGACATACCAGCACAATTTATTGCATTTTGAGATCTAACAGTCAGTTGAAGATAATTGTACGTTGGTAAAAACTCGTTGTGAAGTCGGTGCTGTCCCCTCTTGTCCTTTCGTGATGTCTCTCGGTTAGATGCGGGCTTTTATAGAGGACGGTGCAGCAGGTAGAGTGATGTTGCAAAGATTATTATAATGAGCGACCATCATCACCATCATCATCCAATCCGCGACGCCGCAGCGCCAGCCTCTATTATACATTATGCTAATGAGCTCTGCTCTCCGCCAATCACGCGGCAGCTGGCGCTGTTTTCCTGCATGCATTATCCAGTGAGGGAGCCGCGGTGTGCGGAGCTGCAGCCCGCCGTCTTTCAGTCTTTGTGTGCTCTGTCCCGGCTGCGAGCGCTGCGGTCGCCCGGAGAGCCGACCCAACACCCTGCCCTCAATAATGCGCTATTTTTCTACTTTTATACCGCTGGATTCCCAGTTTGTACAGCCGATGAATCGCCTGGGGGTTTTTTAATGGACGGGGTAGTATGAATTCCCAATGTTATACAGTGGCGATGGACCTTGGCGTTTGTCAACTGAGGAATTTCTCGATATCGTTTCTATCTTCTGTGCTCGGGAAAGAGAGTGCATCAGTCAGGCTTGACAATAGGTAATATCAATGGGCTTTCAGAGCTTTATCGACTGCTGGTTGTGTAGCGATGTGCGGTAGATTAAAATGAGGCAACATCCACGAAATGTCGCCTCATTGATTCTCCGCCATCAAATTCAAAACCTGCTATCTCGACCTCCATTTGGTTCGCTTTGTTAGACACTCGTGATTTTTTTTTTTTTTGTGTGTGTGTGTGTGTGTGTGAACTATTACTCTCATTACAGCTTCGTAAGATATGTTAAGCTTCTATTTAGTTTTTCATTTGGCAACATCAAAACCGCAAACGCCAGTCAGTTTGCCCTTGATGGAGACGTTTTCATCAACACTGCAGTATTCATCTGATGGTACATCAACCAACAAATCATGTTATGCTTCCTGTCTTTCAGCTCCTCGGGTGCAAGTGTGGTGGCCATTGACAACAAGATTGAACAAGCAATGGTAAGCTGCAGTTTTTAATAATCATATTACCGGCACTGTGTTTGTAAATAGGCCTGTATCTTGCTTTACATTTATGTGCAGGCGCCGGTGTTACGTAACACAAGCACCAATGTGGACTCCTGCAGCTATTATCAACCCCTTTTGCTTTGATTTTATACCGTTACAACAGCGTAATAAAAGATATGTACCTGATAATATTATGTTCTAATGAAAAGGGGATCTCAGACTAATGAGAGCGCGCTCCTGAGCAATGAATGAATGGATGATGCATGATGGTGCTTTTCTGTATTCTAGAGGTGATTTTATTTAAATTTTTTTAGTGGATATGAAGTTGCAGATTTAAAAAAAAAAAAAACGTATAATTTTCCGCACATATGCACCTGCTGGTATGTGAATTAGAGGCAACAGGAGCTTCCTGTTCTGTCACGAATTGGACCGATGACCTCCGGCTTGTTGGCAACTTGATGTGGGCCAGGCTAAGGTTCACACGCTACCCCCCCACCCCCGTCTCTCTCCCTCTTTCTCTCTCATAGTCCCTCGTCCTCTCTCTCCCTCCCTGTCCCGTGTTGCTAGGCAAGCAGCAGCCTCCCCTTGGCTCGGTATAAATAACTCGGCCAGTGATTGGCTCCTCCCACTCCAGTGCAGGAACATTTTGTTCCCGGAGCAGGGAGGAGGAGGAGGGGGAGGAGTGAGGAAGGAGGGGCGGGTCCACAGAGGAGGGGATGCTCTGATTATTAAACGCAAATCCCCCTTCAGCAGCAGGCTGGCAGGACACACTGCCCAAGCATCATCATGGGAGTGCACCCCGAAGCTGTTTCTCTCCAGTATTTTTTATTTAAAACACCTTTTTCTGAAATTCGCATTGTGTGTCCATTCCTTGTCTTCCTCCTCCCACACACTGTGACAGCTGGCATGTGCTGTGCAAGACTGAAATGATTTACGATGCTAATTTAGCCTTTGCACTCTGCTGTCACACATTCCTGTCCCTGTAAACAGCATGTTCCTGAGTCAGTTTTTCCTTCAGCTATTTTTATGCCACGTTGTCTCGTGGTGCTAAATTTATAAACGGAGTAAATAAAACATGGATGAATAAAAATACATTTTGCAAAAATAGAAAGGATGTTAACTGAGGATGGTTTAGGACGTGTGATTACATCTGCAACCAATAATAATGATCATAATAGATTAATGTGCCAATTATTGACCTGAACAACTTATTGTTGAAAACAGCAGATGTTTCAGCATCTTTTCTTGGAGAATGACAGAGTCAATTATCAATAATTTGTCAAAAAAGTTTTTGACTATTGATTTATAGATTAAATAGACTAATTAAGATGTCAGTGCAGCCATCTTTATTATCAATTAATCTGGTTAGTATTTTCTTGATAAATTCATGAATTATTTAGTCTAAAGAGTGAAAAAAAAATCCTCAGAGCCCACAGTGACGCCTTCAAATGTCTTTTCTTTGTTCGTGCCACAGTCTGAAACCCTAAAATATTCAATTTTTTATTATATAAATGAGAGAAAAGCAACAAATATTCATACTGGAGAAGCTGGAGTCAAAGAATATTTTGCATTTTCAGAAACTATCAATCAGTTATCAAAATATTTGCAGATTAAGCACTTGACTAATCACTTAGGTGATTAATAGTTTTCAGTTGTAATGTGATTTAACTTGAAAGAAAAAAAGGATATGGTGTTTATGTTGTGTCGTAAGGAGGCTGGTTTCAGTTTCAAACAGAAAGGTAGTTTGAACAAGACGTTTTCTTGTCTCGCAGGGGAGACTTGGAAGAAGGAATATGATGAATAATTTAGCTAACCATCTCTCTTCTCCCTCCCTCCATCCTCAGGATCTGGTGAAGAGCCACCTGATGTACGCTGTGCGCGAGGAGGTGGAGGTGCTGAAGGAGCAGATCAAAGAGCTGATCGAGCGCAACACTCAGCTGGAGCAGGAGAACAACCTGCTCAAGACCCTGGCCAGCCCCGAGCAGATGGCCCAGTTCCAGGCGCAGGTTCAGACCGGCGGTTCCCCCACCAGCACCGCCCAGCCTCTGCTCCCGGTCCCCGCCGGATCCACACAAGTCCTCCCCTCCACACAGAACTCCGGCTCGTCTGCGTAACACAGAACCTGCACACTGGAGAGTCTCCTAAGGATGAGCAATAGGGGGGATGGAAGGAAGAAGATGAGGAGAAGGAAGAGGAGGAAGGAGTCTTGCCATACTGTGAACTAACTCTAGCATCAAGACCGACTATGCCACCGTCTCAAGGACACTTCAACTTAACCGGAGGACGAAACAACTTTCCTTTGTTGCACATTTTATTTAATTGAAAGACTTTGGAGTTGCACCGGTGTGTGTGTGTGTGTGTGTCCGCTTTGTCTCCGTCTTTTATTACCTGCTTCAGACAATCGTTGTCGTCGTGCTGGTCGCCGTGGTGATGATGAGGAAAAGGATAGAGCTGACAGGAACTGATAGTCGACCCTTACAGCCAGCGCCGCCACTGTTCAGGGCCACCAGAGGAAGGAGGAGCTAACCCAGGGCTCGGCCAATCAGGGGAGCACGCTGCACGCTCTTGTCAGTGCCGTTGAATCCCTCGCAGTGTGAACCGTGGAAAGTGTGCCATCGTCTTGCCCCCGCCCCACTTCAACTCATCGCTGTCCATCTGCACACAGTTTTTTACTCAGCATCTGCTTATTTCTTTTTTCCGTTTGCACTTTTTTCAGACGATGTTGACAGCGGACGAACTTTACAGATTCGTACAACCCATCTGGAATGGGAGTCAAATAAACCAGCCGACTTTTTTCTGGGTCTCAATCCTCACAGTATCTGAAGACGACAAGATTTTCTGCGCTGAGGCGGGGTTATAAAGAAATTTCTGCTATATATATATATATATATATATATTAGCTGCGTCTCCTTGTTCACTTTAAGAACTCTGTGTTCTTTTCGAGGTTAGCGTCGCCATCCCCACCCTTAAGGCACCCTCCCCCCTTCTTGGATGGAGCATTAAACATTTATGCAGGGAATTAATGTTTTTTAGGGAGGGCTGGGAAAGGATTGGGATTTGGTTTGTCTGTTGATCTTCTTGCTCTTATTGATGTAATAAATGTCCTAGTGGTCTGTAAAAATAAATGATGGAAAGGTGAATAAATAGGACATGACTGTTTCTAGGTAGTGAACTTTGTACATATGAAAAATTTCCAATTAAACTCTGCCAAGTGCCTGGTTTCTAACCATAGATACATATATAAGCTTTTTTTAGTTGTTTTATTCATATATTTGTGTATATATATATCTATGGTTTTGCCAGGTTTTGAACTACCTGTGATGTCATTACTCAGGGTGGGACCACAAGAGGATTATTTACCTCCACACTAAGATGCTGTCTCTCCTGCAGTGACACACGGCCTCGTACTGTATGTGAACTCTCCTCTGCCGCCGCTTAAAACTCACTCGCTCAAATGATCTGGACTGTTTTACCATTTGGGGACGTGTGTAGTTGTTTTTTTTAACGAATGACTGTTTTTTTTTTTTGTTTTTTTTTTTGTTTCTTCCTTTGTTTTTTTTCTTCTTCTTTTTTGTCTTTTGTACAGCCAAGTGTTTTGAGTTGCTCATAGTGCAACTGGAGCGCTGAACACAATAATGAGATACTTGGCAAAAGAAAAAAAAAAAAGGAAAATGCCTAGCAGAAGTATGTCGATGTTTGTGCATGTTCCTCAGCCCATCACAAATGTGACGTTATAATTGCACTAGACAGTTGCACCTCAAATAAAAATAAAAACAAAAAGCAAAAAGTGGACTGTTCGGTTTTCTTTCTACATAACAAGTCTGACTGGTTGAATCTGGACAGGTTTCCTAAAAGAAAGAGACATACTTTAGAAAATATGCAAGTTGAATTTCAGTCATAAATATACCATGGATTCATTTTCTCCTTCTAGTAACCCTGAACGTGTGGATTGAGGTCATTCAATTGAGGTAAAAATGTAGGTTTTCCACAAGTAAACCAACCTATTTTGCACATGTAAAGACAAATAATGCCACTGAACAATTCCTTAGCAAACAACCAGCAATCACCGCCTCCCAGTTTACCCAGACTTCCCAGTTAGAAGCATGAATGACTGCTTCTTCACCAGACCTCATTACATATGTACTGAGGTAGACCACCAGACGAATACGCGCCTATATGTGGACCTCTCATTGGTTACATATGACCGAGCCCCCTAAAGCTATACCGTGTTTGCTCCGCCCACCCCTCTCTCTCACGTGGACCTGCACGCTGTTAGCGAGGACATGCAAACGGGAGCGCGCAGAGATATAGGGTGAGGAGGCGATTGTGGGAGCTGGTGTTTGACTTGTATGCATTAAGCTTTAGTTCGAGATGAGGCTTTTATTTGGTGATTTTTGTGTGTAAATAGGGTTTCTGTTACTGTTTTGTATATATTACATGCTAGGTGTATCTTATTAAAAGTAATTTATAAAATGGATAATGGCTGACTGCAAGGAAAAAACTAATTCCTATCATATTCTTATGGAGGCTCAAAGTACAATAATAATGATAAAGAACATTTCTATACCACTTATAAAGATCTGCTTTAAAAGGGAAAAAGAAAATATATATATGTACTCAACCTAACCTGCATGCACATACACATGTGTAACATGGTAATATACACTTAACTGCCAGTTTATTCATTGTACTAAAACCAATACAGTGTATTACAACAGCCATACAATAAAACCTATAGCTTCATTCATCAGTGAGGGCAGACTAAATATGGATTCAAAATCAACAAACGCTAAGGCACTGTCTCTACCACGAAGGCCATGAGATGTGGCGAAAGTTCCAGAAAGATGGACTTTGTGCTAAAAAAATGGATCGTAGCCAAAGTCGATCATCAACCTTTAGGCCTTCAAAACCAAGATAATAGTTCAGTGACTGACGTTTAATTTCAAGGCCACATTTTAACCTGAAGGTACAGCAGCTCAGTGTGTCTGTGATATTTTTAGTAACGTTTTCTAGGCTATGCTTTTCCTCCTGTTTAGCTGCAGAGAAGAGAGCTCAGTTTCTTTTCAAGTCAGCCGGTCACATTAAGGTTCTTATAGTATTTCTCTGTTGTTTTTGCTTAATTAGATTTTCATTCATTTAGATCTGTTTAAATAATACAAAGGAAAACAATAAGATTCTTCTGTTAGGGTTGTCCTTGAGCAAAATCTAATCAATTGTGGTCTTTGATCTGATGTATATAAGTATATCCATTCAAAGGAACCCCCCCCCCTCCCCGTTCTCAGGTCAGTCTGATCCCAGATCTTGACCTCACAGCGGCTGGCTGACTGGCTGGGTGGATCAGACACTGCATGGAGGCACATCTCCTGCTCTTGTGTCCAGATGGCACTTTCGCAAATCCCATTTCATTGACAAAAGGTGTTTTCTTAAAGCTCGCCGCCGCGGGTACAGGATGTACTGTGAGGCCGAGGGATCACACGTGGATTAACCATGTCTATTTGTGCCACTGCCGATGTTTGGAGGCACAGATATAGAGGCCATTATTTACATTGTGTGCTATCAATAACATGTTTGGGCCTGATGGCATATTGAGGTTGTTTTATATTGTATCTTTACACACTATAGTAGTAAACAATGATTTCATTGATTTGCTGTTTTCTCCAACTTTTATAAAGAAGTTTTTATTAATAAGTAAATTAAAAACTACATACACATATCTACACATCCTCCCTCTACTTTTAACCAACTGTTTCCAGACATACAAAGACCTTTCTGCCCCAAAATTGACCCCAAAAAATCCTCTTTACACCCCCTTAAGTGGACCTCCTTCTGTGCTGTTGTTGTAGTCCTCATTGCTGAGAAAGCAGGTGGCCTGCTGGTTAAACCCCGAACCTCCAGACTGTCAGCAAGGCTCCCCCCTCCTGTGGGCCCCCCCCCCCCGAGATGCTACATGGGGATTAACTTGTCCAGTATCCAGGCATCAGAAATACACTTTGTGTTTGTGCACACGCAGAAAGAAAACCTGTTAACAGCTCCCTCATCGCTACAAAATCCCAAATATACACCGGCTAACGCCTGATTTTGTAGCTGCAGCTAAGAGAAAAAGATCCAGCGTAGAGGATCAGACCACATGGCATCTTCATCAACATCACGTCTTCCATTTTAACTCGGCGAACATGGAGACTGCTTTGTCCAAATTACAAGCTGACACACGAATAGACCGCCTGTGGAGTCTTGTTTTCTGTCACATGTACACACACACCAGCACACATGTTCGCTCATTATCAGCGCTCACTTTCAACTCGAGACATCTCTGCACCAATCTGAACATCCAGTTACACGACATGTGATGCCAGTAGGAGAAACCCTCGAAACATGCGTGCAGAAATTCCTGGGAATTTAGCGGCTCAACCACGCTGGCCACAGTTAATTGGATGTCCAGCTGATTGAATGAAGAGGGCTACATGAGGGTCATGTCTGTGTGTTTGGGAAGCAGCTGGAGGGAGGCGTGAGCACGTGGCTGTACTTAAATAGAGCATGAGAGAAAAGAGTCATGCTGTCTTCCTGAAAGGTTACAAATTAAGAAACAAATAGCCACTGACATGTATATACTGTTTTTGATGGCTGGTGCACTCCAGGAATTGTCTTGTTTTGTAAGCAGGCCTCGCTATGCTTCAAAGTAAGAGCTTGTCAGATGAGCACTTTTCATAAATTGAATATTTAGCAGCCGTCAGAGTCAAACCTTTGTGCCAGTCAGACTTGTATGTTAGTGTTCCTTAAGGCTTTATTCCATTCAGATATGCCAAGACCATTACAGAGAGCTCGTGTTGATATCTTTGCTTTGCAACCCGCAGCTTCCGAATGACATCTGGGATTAGGTACCAAAGCTGTCGTGACCAATATGTAAAAATGTATCATGATCTGATGCAACTGCATATCATTCAGACTTCCATGTTGAAAGTGTTACGGACTTTGTAAGGGAAAGTGACCACATCTAACAACGTCCCAGCTTCGAGCACAGCACCTGGGTGCACGCTTTCCACTTTATTTTAGCAAATATTTGGCTCATCTTTACTTGCCCCTACTTCCCTGCCTCCTGCATGTGCATATAACATGAATTATTTATTAAATCAAAGGAGGAAAATGCCCATAAAAATAGGACTTGAGCGAATCTGAAAATGTTGATTTCACTAATGCAAGTGCTTTGAATTTTTGCACACTTTCCCAAACACACACCCACGCGGCTGATGATTTTTTCATGGGGATTTAATATTTTGCCTGAGTGTGTGTCTATGTGTGTGTGTGTGTGTCTATGTGTCTGTGTGTGTGTGTGTGTGTGTGTGTGTGTCTGTGTGTGTGTGTGTGTTTGTGCCCACAGGCACTGCGGCAGGTCCGTTCTATGGTATGCTCCTGTCCTCATTTGTCCTCCATCCAAAGTCACATTTCTCAGAGACACGTGCCCCCCACCCCCACCCACCGCCGAGCGAGAACCCTTTGAAATCTCAAAACAAACCACAGACGAAAGCACGGAGAGGGAGGCACATAGCTCGTTCCCCCACTGGGTAGAGAAGGGGATTATGGGGGATTACGGCCCTCTCTTATCCTCCACTTTTCCTCCCCTCAGCACCTTCTCTCGCTCTCTATGAGTTGTCAAAACAGGAAAAGTTTTCCTCCTAAAATCTCCATCGCTACGACCGTGCGAAATGAGATTCTAGACACGCAGAGGATGATTTTTCTCCACTCAGCTGTCTGTCTGAAGTATTTTGTTATTCTGTCAGTCCGGTTCGACTGGTTTCCTGCATCATTATTTTTTTTCTAGCAGTGTCGTCGTCAAAGGCAGTAGCATTCCTGGTGTGTGTTAAGCATCTGCTCGATGATTTGTAACAAAGACAAAACAATAACCACCCCCATAACAAAATGTGTGTGAGGAGACAAAGATTTTAGGGTCAGTTTCTCAGTTTTTGTTGTCTTATGTGTCATTTGTTCTCAAGCCGCTTCACACTGTAAAACCTGCATTAACAAGAATACAGCTCATCAGTCAGGGTAAAGGTGAACTAGTAACTCTAAATGACACTTTCATGCTCTTCACTTTCAGTCTGTGTTTGTTTTGGCTGACATACTCGGAGTTTTTGTCTGCGTGCGTGAGTGTGTGAGTCTTTACCGCGCAGCCAGACAGTCATTACACCACAGCTGAACTGACACAGCAGGAGAGACAACAACAGGCACAACAACGCTACATTCACTTAAAGAGCTTTCCGCTTAATCAGGTTGTTTATGGCACAGACTGTTCCAGTTTATTAGAAGGACGCTTGAAGGACTTTAAGTTTATGAGGCAGACGGTAAATAAAGTGTGTGGTGTGAAGGGTTTTTTGAGGTTGTATCAGAATAAGTGTATAAAATGATCCACAGTGTGAAATGGTAGACGGACAGAAGTTGGTATAATGTTATATTCTGCACACAATAAACTACACACCACACACAAGTTAAAACATCTTTTAACAATAGCTTGACCACAACGTCATATTTGTGTCAGCATTTTGTCTGACCTACAAAGCACTTTGATTATCAAATACACTACGAAACCAAGTCCCGCCATCTCCACGTGTAAAAGCAAAGTGCATGGGGGCTGTAGTCAGAGTTTGGAGGGCCGAGTCTCTTTGTTTTAAGCTTCGCAAAGACCAAAAATGCACGAGCGAAAAGGTGTAAACAATTATTAAACCTGTTTGTTTGCTCCAATGAAAACTGCAGTTGTTAGCCAGTCCAGCTAAGTAGCTGCAGTTGCAACCCTGCATTAAGGCCAAGGAGCCCATAATTAACTGACTGCAGGTTACAGGTTAAACAAGACTAGGTCACAGTCTAGTGTGGTAAACTGCATACGTGCTGTGTGAGAATGAAAAGCTTGAGAGACGTGGACGGGGAATAGAAAACAGATAATGGCCTCACACTGTAGTATCAATAGTAATTGATTCTCATCCCTATATAGACTGACTGACATCAACTGTTTCATGAAGTAAAGTGCAAGACAGTCTGTTCCCTGGCTGACAATGTGCTGACCAGCAACACTCAGAGGGCACGCACGGATGCCACGGCGCCAGCGCCAGCGTTAAGAGTGTCCTTCCGCTCTCCTCACATAGACACATCCACTCAGCACTCACACTTCAGACTGGAGGAAGGAGAAGTCCCGACCTCGCGTGACACAGTAACGTGACCTAAAAAACACAGCACATCTCAAAAATAGCTCGAACACTCAGCAGGCGTCGACGATGCCTCTCGTTGGCGCCGGCGATCCGAGCGAACGTGACCCCGTCCAGAAAGACGTTGTCTTGATGATCTTTCAAGTTGAACCAGTGCAGCGTTGTGTGCTTGAAATACAGACTTTTCCTTTGTGCAAATTCACCACAGCTGGTGTTTTTGAGCAGGTGCGCACCAAATGGCCGACGAAGCCCGAGGCCTCTCAAGGAAGCAGGAGCAGAGATCTGGTAAAACTCTCCCTAGATCAGCCTAGATACCGAAAAGCTTTGTTTGAATAGGTAAATAAGGCAGTTGAAGGCATCATCTGTTTGGCATATGCCTGGCTGTGCTGACACGTCTGCAAGAAGGTGCAAAGCCCTTTCACAGAAACTCACAAATCCTACTTTTTGTTTGTAGAGACGGAGAGTGGGTGTGATCAGTGTGCAGATAATTTGACACAGCAAAGTAAAACAAGCCCTATCCCTAAGCATATTTACTCTGACATCATCTTTCCTCCAACGTTGCCTCTCGGGTGCTTTCACAGACACAACAGAGCTTACTTAGCATTTGGTTTTGTAGACGCAGTGCTGCTTTGGGAGTCATTTTGTTGTTCTCCCTCTCGCAGCTCATTATAAACAGCCGTTTTAGTCAGATGGGGCTGATCTGGGTCAGTCAGTCGTGCAGGCAGACACACTGGACTTAAATTCACTCTCTAAGCTGCCGCCTTTCATTTTCAGAGCGTCTGAAACCCTATTCCTGTATATCCTCCATGCCTTCGAACCCCCACTCAGCCCATGTCTGGTACATAGTGTTCAACCACACACATGCAAATATAAACACGCACACAGTCTGAGGTCAGCTTCTATCATTGCAGTGTTTCCTGTTTGTTTCCTAGCAGGAAGAGAAATCAGCAGCCTTCTCTTTCTTTCACATGTCGTCCTTCACTTCTCACGTCACTCTCATCCCCACTTCCATCATCTTTTTTTAAAAGGGCAGTGGGAAGACACGCAATTTCTTCTTTTTTGTGGGCAGTCAACCCATCCACCACTATCCCCAGGACCAAATAATTTACACTCATTAAACTGATCTCAAATGGCATTTTCATTTTAATTCTTTTCTCCTTTTTCCCTCATCTTTAAGCCGATATAATATCATGTTTATGAGAAGGGTACAAAAAGTCTCAAAAAGACATCTGCGTGCAACACAACTTCCATATTCAGAGCCACAGTATCAGAAAGTTTCACTACAGCACCTGTCATGCACTTGAAACCTCATGTGGGAAAGGGAATTTGTTTTCATTAGAGCTAAATGTGAATTATTTTTCCAATTCCCCCTGAATCTTTAAAGTGTGATAGCAGGTGACTTTATAAATAAAAATTTATTATAAATAATAAATTGTGGCAGCTCTAAAGATATCTCGACCACAGGACCACAGGTGTCGGGTTGAAGCAAGACTGCGGACAACAAAAAATTATTCTAGTGCAATTTTGTTTTTGAATTTTAATTAAATACACGATACATCAAGAATCCCACTCGAAACTTAACATCTAAATAGAACGTTGTTATTTTTAATGTTAGTTGCACAGTGTGGGAAATAACTGAAAATAGTCTGGTTTCTGAGCTTTCGTTTGAATGATTAGATAAAACCATCACCCCCTAAAATCCTGGATGTGTTTCTTTAAATTCTTTCCTCCTTAAATCTGCGGGTCCATCTCACGTTTTCAGTCGGGCTCCAGGCAGCAGACAGTGACACGTGGAGCCAACATCAGCAGGAAGAAAATGCAGGCTGAGGCAAGAAGAAGAGAAGAGCGCACACAGGCACACACGGGCACACACACACACACACACACACACACACACACACACACACACACACACACACACACACACACACACACAGAGGTACATGCAGTCCAAGTATGACATCAAAAAACAAAGTCTTTCTGTTGATATCATAATTCCTGCAATTAGTATGTTACATAACTTTACATTCATTTGAGCCAATTAAAGACATGTGACCTTCAGCTATGCAAAACTTACCCCAGCTGATCCTAATTTACTATGATGAACTGATGATCAGAAAACGGGTTGTGAGACGGGTACAGAAATCCCAGTTTTGCTTTCCTCCTTGGTTCAGTTGGAAGATCTGATCACAGCAGTCAAACATTTTAAAGGAAGTGGAAGGTCTTGGTTTGGGCACAAGCTGCATGAACATCACTTGCCAGCAAGCCTGTACACAGTATTTCACTGTTTAAAGCAGATGGCATGGCAAAATTAACAAAATAAAAGCTTATTTTAAGTGTAAATCTAAAACAGTGCTAATAAGAAGGAGGGTAAGTGTGTCACTCTGCTTGATTATGTTCCCAATACAAGGTTTCTCCTTACTTTACTTCCCGTCTTTATGTACTTCAACAAGGTTTACTTGACCTATCCATCCTCCATTGACTCTTCATCACGAAAGAAGAGGAAAACAACAACAGAAGCAAGCAAGAGACATTTACTTCCTGTTCTGTTAAATAATCACTACAATACAATACAGTAACAGATATATACATAGGCTGAGCTGCTATTTGGGTCAACCCCACTGTGGGCTACACAGTGTAGTAACCCACCACCCCTCCTCTCTTTAACTGAGGGGTTTTAGGCTTTGAGAAGTACAGGGTGTTCCAGCAGAGTCTTTATATGGAATACAGCTGATTAGTATGTATTCAGCGACAGACACACACGTGCTTGTTTTTGATATTTCCACCAGTGTGGTTGTGCAGTAACACTGTGTCCTCAGCGGTCCTCCTACAGAACAGGTGCAGAGCTGCATTAAATATGAGCGTCAGTCGTGGGACACAGAAAGCCTGCAGTGCACGAATATGGCATGAAATTACTGTTATTATATAGCAGAACACATTCCCCCTGTGGAGATCTTTTTTTAAGAGTTTATGAGCCCTTATATACCTGATTCCATCTTTATTTTCCCTCATAAAACTGTATACTATGAAATGTTTAAAAGTAACTGCCAGTTTATATCTGCATTTAAAACTCCTATAATAAGATCACTGGAAAAAAAAAGCTTATTAGAGGGCTACGCCTATAGAATCTGGTGTTGACCATGACCAACGTTTCCTCAACTCTTGGCATCTCTTATAAACCTATTTTCACAAAACATCTCTAGAGTCATAAATTCAATTCGTTCAAGAAATTTCGAAAAAAAATGTGTAAAGTCTAACCAACTTGGCGAACTGTGTCCTGTATGCAAAGTAGGATGTGTGGTCCCTGAGCCATGACTGGCTGTAGCTGCTGGAGGCGTCCCCGCCGTCTTCGTTAGCTGAGTTCTGATTGGAGCGGCACCTGGTCCAGCCCCGCAATCAACCTGACATCATTTGGGACTGAGATTACAAAAGCCTGGCCAGACTTAAAGTTCGCGAGCACGGCTGATACACACAGCTAGCTAGCTAAGGCTTTGGCTAGCTAAGGGCTTGAGCTTTTGTTGACCTTTTGGTGGTTGCTGAATCAAACTTTGTGTATTAGTTTTGAGGTACACATTAAAGCAGGAACAGGGGTGCTGTTTAGTTTGTTTTTTAATGGACAGAGCAATCAGAGAGGTTTTATTTTCATTTAAGATTTAGAAAGCTAGTTAAAACTCTTGTTTATCTTGAGTCCTCCTCTTCCCCCTCTTAGTTAGCTTCATTTTGAGCTCGAACTCTTTAGCTTACTTACTTACTGACGTACTTACTTACTGATGTACTTACTGACTTGCTTTCTTACTGACTGCATTGTCATTATACCATTTTAATACCTCTAAAAGAAACCTCACAGTTCAACTTTTGAAACACCCTGCGCCTCCAGACTAACTCCTATCTCTTCTTGTCTCATCCAAATGTTCTCAGTATAGATCTAATTTGTCTCCCTCATCCAGTGTACGCATAAATACTGCATTTGTAACTTTAGAAACGTGTGAATTGAAGCTGAGTGCAACTCGCACAAACTCAGGCTGATAAATGTGCACAAAGAGACACACACACGCATGCACACCAGTCACAGAGGAAGCTTTGAGAGATGGCAAACTAAAGCAGGTCAGTGTTTCACCTGCAGTCACGATACATCAGAGTGTGGGCAGAAAGTGTAAAATACTGAAGATCTCAAGGGATTTAAGCAACAAACCCACTGCTCTCAGGATTTTTACCCGCTTACTATTGTGTTTTGTGGCTGTATTTAATATGTCAAAGCTAATGTGACATAGCTGCTGTCATGACTCACAAAGAGGCTCCTAATAAGAAGACAGCGATGTGATAGCAAAGCTTGCAATGCGACATGTTTTTAAGGATTATTCTCTCTTTAGCTGCTAAGTGATTGACATGAAGTGAAGCCTTATGTAATGCACATGCTGGTATGTAACACCTCAGCGCAATGACACAATGACTAAACTGAAATTCTTTTTGTCTTCCTCATGCAGTTGGTTTGTGGGACCTGCAGCCGCCCAGATCCCTGATGCTCTCCTTAAAAAAACAAAACAAAAAAAAAACTCACCAGCAGGAAAAAGAAAAAAGGCAAATATTGGCGTCTAAACACCCACACACACCTGGTGTACAGTGCTAAGTGGCATACAAGCGGCCTCTTCACAGAAAGGAGTTGAAAAAAAGGCTGCAAGGTTTGTTTGCATGATGTGTTTATCTAAGTCTGGAGCCTCTTTTTAAAGTGCCGTTAGAGAAATACAGCCATACTGTCCAACTTATAGCGTGTGACCTCTTCTTTCTCATTTTTCAGGGGCTTGTTTTACAATGTCTGTTCTCATACAGAGGCTGGATGAATCTAAGATGTGACTGAACCTTTTAAGAAATGATATAAGGTTTGTTTTTCTGTTCTCAATCACATACATGTAGGAACATGTTAGGAACAGAACAGTGCGGATGAAGGGGAAGATGTTGTTCATGTTTTTCATTGGCGATGTTCAATGCCCTGTAAAACCCCCCCCCCACTACAGAGTGATAAAACTGCAGCTGTGGTTTCACTGTGCCTGTGAGAGGGGAAATGAATAGGGAACAGTATGTACGGGACGTTTCTACATGTGAGAGAGAAGAAGAGATCCTTTAATTTCAGTTGCTTCCCTCCATTGCTTCCTTCTCAATTTCATTCATAATTTACTGCCCCCACTGTTCTGGCTGCGATTGGGATACAGAGAGGAAGCAAGCCACATCGTGCCCCCCTCTTCCAGCTCGCACGCACACTTGTTCTTATGACGTAATGGACGATCCGGGACTCCCTGCCGCTACCTAGCTGCCCTACTTGCTGGATGTGGAGGAAGAAAATCAGCCTCCTCATCTCTTGTGCTGCAGTTTCAAGCGTGGCCAACACTTTAACGGTGCGGCCTGCATCACTGCATAAGGCATGTGAAGCATCTATTGTCCTCGATTACACTGTTTATTCAACACACTGTTTATAAGTAGGTGTATGGCTATGAATATGTGACCTGCGTTCAAAATACACACACCAGGCTAATATGAATTCATGTTCTCAAATCTGGGACATTTTGGAAAAAAAAACATAATGTCACACATTTGGATCAAGCTGCTTTTTAATCTGGATCACTGTGTACTCTTCATTAGATTAAAACATGAGGAATGTTGTGTCGTATGTTGACTCAATTCCTGTATTTTACCTGAGCATTTACCATGTATGCCACTTCATACTCTTTCTCCACTACACTTCAATTCTGCAGCCAGGTGTACAATCTATTGTTACAGGGCTTCACTATCGAGTAAGCTTCCAATAATTTGATCAGTTAATGAATTGATTGTTTGGCGTATAAAAAATCAAGCTAGAAGCAAAAAACCTCCATCACAACTCAGTTACTTGCCAGCTACATCATTAAAATGCTGTTTATATGTTAATGTATCAGTAATAATAATCCAGTAGCAAAATAAATAATAAGATAACACTGACATTTTTATACTTTAAGCCAATAAAACTTAAAAAATAAAACTTGGTGTTTATCCATCGCCCTGATTAGTGCTGGAAGGTTTAAGATGCTGAGCAGCATTTACAAAAATCACTCACTGCTGAGTGAGCGGGTGGGTGGGTGTGAAACTGACTCTGCACCTCCAGATGTACATTTGGCAGTGGGACCAGATACGCCATATACAGTATACTGTTTATACATGTCCGTGTGTGTGTGTGTGTGTGTGTGTGTGTATGCAAGTGGATTCATGATTCATTTCAGTGTAAATAAATCGCTATATGTAACAACTCCTGTCGCTTTGTGGAGGCAAGTGGCTTTGTTTCTATAAGCACACAACACATTTGCCGCCCACTTGTATTACATGATACAAGCTTGTTTTAGGACAAAGAGCTACTGAATGTGTCATTACATGCATTTAAAAAAAATGTGTTGAATGTCACAGATACCAGGACATTAAACTGTGCGTTTGTGTGTTTGTTTACGTTGCTCAGGTACATAGTAGGGTGTGGCTCCGCTTACGGGCGTGTTTGTGGGTTGAAGGTTTCGTTTATTACATCTATTTTTAGCCCAGGCTATTTGCTGGAGTTAGGTGAGACCTTTCGGCCACGTCATGCTCTTAAGCTCTCTCGCCCCCACAGTGACAGTAAACTGTGCGGATCAAAACATTCCTGACAGCCAGCCACACCCTGAGATAACGCCGAACACCTTCACCAGGTTTCTGTTTGCAGCTAGTGCCAAGAAAAAGGCCCAACTCAACCTCTGGAAACACGACACCTTAAGTAAATTCCCTCTTGACTCACCCAAGACAATGAACTTAACCATAAATGAGTCACATGCTGACTGTTACTATTGTTTATCAGAACAGATAAAAGTAAAATTAAAATAAGGCAGGATGTTTAAAGTTGGTTTAAAAGTCAGCAGGTTTTATCTGGAAACTGTAAAGCTGGCCATGTGTTGTTTAGTCTGACACGGACCAACAGGGGCAATTAGAGGCCAGCAGCGTCACAGTGGTCTCCCCTCCTCACTTCTTTTTCATTTGGTTAACTACACCAGGGATCTGTCTCAGGATTACTGCTTTGTCTGGATAACTTTACAGAGACAGTAATTACTTGAGCAAACAAAAGAAAGTAAATAAACTCTCTCTGGTCTCTGGAGGTAAATCCATACTCAAGTTGACTACAAGCTGTTGCCTGGCAGTTTGTAAAGCTCTTAAAGCCAGCGTGAAACAATTACTGGCAGCATTGAAATGCAGGTTTCTCTGGAAATTGATATTTCTTTAACCTCTGAAACTGTTTCTCTGTCTGAGATCAAGAGCAAATAAATCCTGTATCCTCTCCTGGCTGCCACGACGTGCAGAGGAGGGAGGAGGCGTACTTCCCCGGAAGCTCATCTCAACTTTTCTCAGGTGCCTGAACTGCTGACATCACAGAAGAAAACTTCACTCTGGTGTGTGTTTGCACACATCAGCTCAGCCAATTGTCTACATACACACAAGGCAGTTGAGCTGAAGCGCCACTCACCAGCTGCTGGGTGGGAGTCAGGCCCCAGGCTGGGAACAGGACTTGTGCTGGGGGTTGTGGTGGATGGTAAAAGGGTATTGAAGTCCAGAAATGGTGATTAATGTTTTTTTAAATGTGTACAAAACTATTCAGAGAGTTGTCATTTTGAGAAATATTGTAAAGTATTTAACCATCTCTAAGGGCATTTTCTCAATTTCTAGATTATTTCTTAAATTCACCTTTTAAAGGGTACTTGCACATAACATAATACCTAAATGTTTCATATCACAATTTTCAGAATAATCTCAGCTCTTTCTATAATGACGCCCCTTTTTGTCGCAGAGCAAAGTGCAAATATACACACACCCGGAACTTATTAGTGGGCGAGCCTTCGGGGGACTCTTTTACTCGAACCCCGTGGGTGGAGAGGACAGGCCTAGGTAAGTTGCGCATCACATCCAATTCCACTGTCCACCGTTAGGTCAACACAGTATCCAGTTCTTAATTTAGATTAACATACACCATTAAATCATAATTCACGTGCGTCATCCGCCCGATTACAGGTGAACGGCGAGGTGAGCAGCCCCGCGCCTCCTCCCTGCAAACACCTGGCCCACGCAACTACATATATCGGACTGTCATTACTAAAATCCCACCTGTGTTTTATTTATACTGTTGCACTTCAGTTACTCATATGCTCAAATATAGAAATACTAATAGTAATATTGCGGTATGGTTATGGCGCCCGTCATTACAGGCAGTTTGGATAATAAAAGTAATCATTAGTTAGTATAGGGCTGTTATTTTTGTCATCAATTAATCTTTCAGTTGTTTTTTGATCGATCAGTTAATGGTGAAAAACAATTACAGTTTCCCACAGCTCTAGGTGATGTAATCAAAACGCTCCTTGTATCCAAAGACATTCAATTTTAAATGAGACAAAAAAGAGAAAAGCAGCAAATAGTCATATCTGAGAAGCTGACACCATTGATTGTTAAATTTTTTTTTTTTGCATTGTTGAGTGAGTGAGCACTCCATACTCAAAGACCACTTTGCAGAGTGCTGATGTCTCTAGCTTTCAAATTTTACACTGCAACGTTTTTGCAACCAAAATTGCCTTGAGTCTGTATTTTTAATGGTGCAGCCTTCACCAGTGATCTCTCAATGCTGCTGCAGGATCTCATGACTGGAACCTGGGCTGATGTAGAAAGATAAATAAGCTGCTTCTCGGAGCAGCGGGCAGATACTCTGCTGTGAAAAACGGCACATCTGCGAGGAATGTGATCTGTCCAGTGTGGATGAGTGACGACACTCACAGAAGATGTAATGTTTTCGTAGGTGAAGGATTATCTTAACACTGACTTGTTTTCAAAATGGTTGTCACAGAAGAGATAACGTCCAGGTACGAATCTGCACAAACACACTGACACACTTTCTTTATGCAGGTGAGATTTAAAAAAAACAACTAAACTTGGATTTGGTGACTGGGCATCAGCCAATGCAAACACACACATGTGCTCATGAAAACATTCACACACTTTGAATATTTGCATTTAGATAATTCACACACCCACACAACCAGCAAAATAGAGACACTCCTGCAATACATCTGCATTTTTTTTTTTACACCTCTAACGCTATGTTTCGGCAGAGGCTGCCAAACTCTCCTGTAAACAGTAGTTCAGGAATTTATTACACAGGCCAACATTCGAGGCCATGCATATAACGATTTCTCATACACTCCAGGTCAGCTGTCTCTGCCTAAACGTTAACAAACATGGGCAGCTAGCCAGAGCTGCCAACAGCTGTAAATATGCCAATCAGACACACTTTAATCATGCACGAGATTGAGTGGATGTGGCAATAACAGTCATAACTAAACAAACTGAAATTTTTTTGATGCTTTTTAGTGAACTTTAACTGCGTGCATATTCTTTCCACACCCTCCACTACTTTCTCTACGGACCTAATTTTATTGGAGAGCCAAAATTAGTAAACAGCACATGGCATCTGCTGAAGATGACAATGTTGCCCAGAGAAATAATTGAACTCAGCCGTCCTGCAGAGAGCTTCTCGGTCGATGCGAAAGCTCGTCGAGCAGCTTTTATTTATTTGCACATTCATTTATCACAAGGTGAAAAAGATGTTTCTTGGACGGAGGCAAGCCAGTTTTCCATAAACTACAGTTTTAACATTAGATACTTCTTAGCGTGGTAAAAATGTTGTGAAATATCTGAATAAAATCGACTGTTTTATGTCTTTCACAGGAAAAAAAAAAGTATTTAAATTGACATATGTTTGTCAGTTTATTAGTTTTCAAGTTCCCACTGGCTGGTAAATCCCTAAACTCCCCCTCTATGTTCTCTATTTCAGCAGCCAAGTATATTTTTAAATGACGGTTGATGCCAAAATGGAGTAGACAAATGTGTCACAGCCAAATAAATAAAACCAGCATGTGGTAAAAGGCCAGTGTTAAATTCATTCCCCAATTAGCTAGACTAAATTAGCTGGGATGGAGGAAATGACTGGCATTTATTGAAAGAGTTTCTTACAAAGGAACTCACTGCAAAGAACTGCTCCCCAAGTGCAACACAGTTCACTTGACAATCCATAATTTGCATCAATGTGGTCGAAAAACAAATAACACACACTGAGTTTCATTTTAACACAGGCCCCACTATGGCACACTGCAACACTGGAGAGGGAATCAAGGCTAAAAAAGAAATGTGGGGTGGAAATCGGCGGGTATTTTAAAAGGTCACACCGTTAGGAGTGGCACTGTGGGTGTACATGCACGTGCTTGTACTGTACAATTTGTACGCTCTGAGGAGGGAAAATATATGTGCACTAAGCCAGTGACGCTGCGGTGTATTTCTGGACTGTCCTCTCTACAGAGGATGGTTCGGGCAGTTTGTTGCACATTTGCTCACGACTCTATGTCTGAAATAGTTGTGTGTAAATTTGTGTGTTTTGACAGTTTGAGTGGAGGAGCCCTGGGGCCTGGAAGCGTCAACAGGATAGAGCAGAGGGCTGTCAGGCTGAGAACATGCTAATAAGGTCAGTCACACAGGGCAGCACTGCAGTACAACAGACACCCAGACTGGCTGGATATTCCCCTCTAGCACACCTTTAAGGAAATGGCCCATTTAACTACAATTTGTGGTTGAGTAAGTAATGAAAACAGTCCTAACTTTTGGGTAATTCATTACATATTGCCCATTACCTCCCACACAATGTACTAGACTCCCTCTCACTCTATAAGCTGTAGAGACTGTGGGTCACTGCACAGTTTGCAGCTTGCTCAATACAAATATTTCACAAAGTAATTGTTTTTAAATATAAAATAGTTGCAGGTATTTGTCTCGAAATTGGTCATTTAGTTCTTAATTGGTTGACGATTATGAAGAAACGCACACACACCAAAAAAACACAAAACATACCTATGCAATGTTATCTAATTCTGTGCTCAAAGCTTATGTTTGTGTAGAATAAAAGAAAAATTGTGAACAAGACGGTTCTGTATAGGTATTTTTTCATCTTTCCGATTCACTATAGTGTCATCTTCACTTAATCTAAATGCACATCTGTACATTGTGTATATATCTGCAGCTTTCCCAGGCCTTGCGTGAGCAATTCCATGACTTCTCTTGGCTTTATATAACTGTTCCAACAATGCAAAGAGTCTTATGTCTATATCTTGATATATATTACAGCTTTTCTCAGAGACTGATGCAATACATTCTGATGTGGAGTAGGTTTCTGAAAAGGCATTCTCATCGTTTAATGAGTTTTGAGTTATGGCTGAAGTAGCACAGTCACGCCCTTGTTAGCCGGCAGTGGGACTGTCACCTCGCAGACCGTCAAGCGACCCAGTGAAGCGGAAGCTGGAACAGCGTGTACCAAAACAACACCATCACATCGACAGTTAGAGTGCGGACACTTGGCTTTTGTTCTGCGCGGGTCACTGTTGTGGACACTCACTGTTTTCACTGTCACCACCTGACCTAAAATCCCATCCCACGCCCCCGCTCATATCGCCCCTTTGGTCTTAAAAGCACAACACTCCTGCATGCTCATCTGTTATCGAGGAAATCGAATAATGTGATAATAGGCAAATATTTTAATATTTTTATGGTTTTCTCTCTGACACAACACGTGCGTTTAAAGGCAAACGTTCAGCAATAACTGCCGTGTTAACATCTGGTATCAAACTACTCTATAACAGTCCAGGTAATGGTTTTGTGATCAAGTTAAACAGATAAAGTTAAGCATTTAGTTGACACTGCTGCCCCCAGTTGTTCAAATGTAGTAATAGCAACAATTCTTCCTTTAACAAATAGACCCATAATAATAACACAGGCTTACATTTAAGCTGAGGACTCCTGCTGATTCTCGAGCTCAGCTAGCTGTCTCTCCATGTGGTAGATGTCTTCAGACATTTGCCTGAAGTAAAGCAGACATAATTTAGGAGCTTTTAATGTAATAATGTTGAACATTACTGCATCATTGGGGTAATTTGCCTTCAAGTACACTCCTGTTAAATTGCAGCAAATGAAAAGGCTGCATGAGGAGTGATGGGGTGATAAACCTCTTCAATGATTTTCTTCCGATTAATATTAAAATTTGAAAATTCCTGTTTTAAATGTATCATAAACAACCAAACATATTCCTCATTTTTGAATTCTAGAGCTGTTTTAGTCACAAAGGGCCAAGGAAATGTCATTTTGCTATTTTTACTTTTTACTGTCCTTTGGTAAATAAATTTAGAATTAACACCTGTGCAAAACATTAGTGTATAATACATAAGTGTATGCAAGCACTTCATTGCTGTATAAATATAAATGGTGTCTGTGTTTATTTTCACCTGTAGACAGCCTGGGCCCTGCTCAGTTGGCAGTGGAGGCGCTTCACGATGGCCTCATAGCGTTTGTTCTGGATCTGAGGCAGTGGGAACAAAAACAAAATAAAGTCTGATGAGGTTTATTGAGACTAACAGGGTCTCAATTTATTTATTTTACACTTAATGCTTTCGGTTTTGGACTGTTGGACACAACAGGACAACAGATAAACGTCACCATGTGTCTCTGGGACGTTGGTTGCAAGCCTAGTATAAACTTCTCTTTGCCGTACCTCTATGTCTCTCTTTATCTGGGTATGAGTCGCACGCTCTTTTTGCAGTCGCTCTCTCCTCTCAGCTATGGCCTTTCTCCTCACAGAGATCTCCTCCTTCAGAGCATCAATCTCTCTCTGCAGAAAAACAAATGCAAAAAAATAAATGTCTTATCAAAGGAAAGCAAAAACAAAAAATATAATACATAAAGTTTAAAATTTCAGTATAATTCAGGATCATTATCTTCACCTTTGCCATATGCACTGTGTCTCCATTTGGATTCTCTAAATCTTTCTTCAGCTCCTCTTTTTTCCGTGTCAACATCCTGACCAGCGCTTTCTTCTCCTCCAGCTTCTTATGGACCTCCGTCCGGCTCGCTGCATGCAAAACAGCTGCTCTGTGACCCTCCATCTTCTGTCGATAGGTGTCGAACCCCTCCCGAGCCACGCGAGCTTTCTCCTCCTCCTCACGCGTACGAATCTGGAGTTCTGCGTTTTCTTTGCTGATGGATACACAGCGATCATGCAGGACTTTAGTCTGCTGCTCCAGGTGCTCCATGTCGCCCTCCAGCACTAGGATCTCCCTCACTCTAGATCTCAGCTCCTGCTCCGCCTTCTTACCTTTCATCTCAACATTTGAAAGAGTTGTCTGGAAAAGGAAGCATAACAAGTTCGTCTCCCCACCAATGCGTTGCAGTAATTAATTGCCAGCTCTTAATATACATCCATCTTTTTAGACCACCACTACCAACTACTTCTACCATTACAGCTCCTTCTACTGTTACTGTTACTACCAGTAATAGTTAAGGTATACACTTCTTCATATAGCAAAATAAAAGAAAGTGTTTAAGTGCGTAACAGAGAAAATAATTTAGTTTATAAGCAGCATTAACTTCAGCCTGTATTAAATTAAGGTGTAAAGGTGAACCTGCAGGGAGCTGAGTTTCTTCTCTTTCTCTTTCAAGGCCTCAATCTGGGTATAGCCTTGTTTACTGACATCCTCCACTGCCTTGGTTAATGAAAAACCAGGATTCATCTGTGTTCCTGAGGGACATTGATAAAAGTGTAGTTAAGTTTCTGTAAAACCTTCTGACTGTTAATGTAACCACTTATAAATCACATTTTCACTAATAAGTCAGTAAGAGTATTTCCAAATGTCATCTTTTGATTTGGCAGACACCCCTGAACACATCACAAAATGTTAGGGATTTCAATATGCATCTACTAATCCATAGCTAATGTGGTTATAGCTACAGTTAGCACAAGAAAATAAATAGTGAGTTAAGTAAGCTAATATTAGCTAATAATAGGCTAACAAAGTTCACATTAACGCATTTGTTATTTTTTCATAGTTAGTTAAATCACTTTCACCAGCACAGTTACTTAAATACTTAAGCATCAATTCTCTTTATTGTTTTTTGTCAATAGGTATATTTAACTAGGTACTATCATCTTACCGTCGGCACTGGCTCCAAAGTTTGACATTTTGACCTCAGTTTGTAAGCTTGTGTGACACTGCGTCAGGTTAGGCACAAACTAGCCAACACCTGTTCATCAATGTTATTTTAATGACAAAATCAATGCTAATGCTAGCGAACTGATGTCAATATGTGAAACTGTAGCGCCAGTGAGTACGATAACTAGGATGGTATTTACAAGTTTAACGTGGTTATTGATTAAATAAATAAATAAATAAATAAATAAATAACGTTAGAGTTCAACTATGGTTGGGCCAAAGTACTATACAATGAAACTACAGCTCCCAGCATTCACTTCTTTCGTCTCCTCGACCTCGTTTCCCAAACTACTTCCGGCTACAGTTACATGCTACAGTTGCAATGAAAACACTCCAACAACGCGTGTAGATATTGTTTTTCTTTACTCGTTGCGCTGTAAATGTAGTGCTATGCTCGTCAATCGCTGGTTTCGACTGTGCTCACTGTGTAGCCGTGTAGTTTACAGCAGTACAGGAATAAGAGGAGGATGGAGGACGCTGCCAGGACACACCAGTCTGAAATATGCTAACATTACAGAGGTGCCTTACTGGGGCACAGTAGAATCAAAACGTCTCAGTCACAGTGATCTGGGGGACTTGTATCAGAGCGAGTCTGTCCAGAGGTACCTTCAGCAGCTCATGGGGGAGTACAGAGACCTCAGCGAGAGGTTACAACATGTTTATCTCAACGAGTCTGACAGAAAACAGCTTATAAAGAAACACACAGAGCTGCTGCCTCTGGCAAATATATTTGGTAGTATTGAACAAGCCCTGAAAGACCACGAGGAAGTCTTTTCACTACTGAATGGTGAGTATTTTTGTATTTCTGTCAGTAACAAATGTCAAGACATAAAGTAATTCTTTGATAATGACAGAGGAAATTAAAAACTAAACAGTGTTAGAATGTCAGATGGTATCCATGTTAAATTGCAGATAGCATTATAATGCCTTGTTCTGTTTCCCCCTGACTGCAGGTTCAGCTGGTACCAAAGATGAAGACCAACAACTCACCCAGCTGTTAAAGGAGGAGGAAGGGCACATCTCCAGCAAGATTTTGGCTTTGAGGAAAGATGTAAGAACACAAAATAATGATCAAATATTGAGATGAATAGAAAATTCAGAGTTAATGAGTGGAACCTTCTGTCTTTCCAGTTGATCAAAGCACTTGTGCCCACTGACCCTCTTGACTCCAGTAATGTCCTGCTGGAGGTTGTATCAGGACGAACAACGGGAGGTATGAAAGAATGCAAACAGAAAATAATCTGTTTCTTTAAATTTTTAAAATCGGTTGGCCAATATGTTTTCTTAAACTTTCTATTATCCTAAATGTGGTTTTAGGTGACATCTGTCAGCAATTCAGCAGAGAAATGTTTGACATGTACCAGGGTTTTGCGTCTTACAAGAACTGGGACTTTGAGGTTTATAACTACACGCCTGCTGAGTATGGTAAATCATGTTTTTGACTGTATTTCTGTATCATTCATCCTCTCGAGTGTTCAGTTTCCATTGTTTTTTTTATGCAGGATCAACATATACACTGTAGATAAATCTGTATTAATTCAGTGATGTCTAACATGGTGGTGCACGGACATGACCGTGAAAAAATGTGAAGTGAGCCAATAAGTCTTTAAGCTGCTGCACTAAAACAGAATTAATGCTATTAACCCAGCTCCCACTTTGTTTGCTGTGACAAGTCAAAATGTCCAAAGAGCCTAAAAAGTTTAACATTGATTGACCGTGTGTCACAGGGGGTTTGCACCATGCAGCGATACGAATAACCGGGGACAATGTGTACAGACACCTGAAGCATGAAGGAGGAACACACCGGGTGCAGAGGATCCCTGAGGTGGGCCTCTCCTCCAGGATGCAGCGTATCCACACAGGAACCATGACTATCATTATTCTGCCTCAGCCAGTGGAGGTACACTCTTGTCTCTTTCCCATCTGCGTTCTCATAAGTCTGTGTTTATTAGCATGGTAGAAAAGTATTTTTTTTCCACTCGTGTCCTTTTTGTTCTGTGTTTGTAGTTTGACGTCCACATCGATCCAAAGGATCTTCGCATTGACACATTCAGAGCTCGAGGTGCCGGGGGCCAGAGTGTCAACACAACAGACAGCGCAGTGCGCGTCGTTCATCTCCCCACTGGTAAAACATGCCAGAAACATTTACGGACAGCTCCGCTTTTATTTCATATAAACATGAGGCCTGGTCGCCTTCTGTTTTCACCATTAGTTTACCCTCCCGACAGGCATAACAGCTGAAAGTCAGCAGACTCGCTCTCAGCTGCAAAACAGAGATACCGCCATGCGTGTGCTGAGGGCCCGACTCTACCAGAGCATGATGGGTAAAGATACTGAGCAGAGGCAAACAGCACGAAAGCAGCAGGTGAGTGACCATTATTACCTGGGAAATTAATGTAATATTCAGATATTTTTGCAATGTCTTAATTCTCACGTTCCTAACTACAGGTGGGTACTCGCTCTCAGTCAGAGAGGATTCGCACCTACAACTTCAGCCAGGATCGTGTCACAGACCACAGGACTGGATATGTCACAAGAGACATTAAGGTTAGATATTAAGAGAGTGTCAACGTGTCTCCATAAGGAAATGTTAACCCGTACATTTTAAGTTTGTCATTCTTGTAATTTTCAAACTGGCAAAACTGTTGTGTACGGTTGAATCTCTGGTTTATTAACTTTTTTTTTATTACCCACTTTTAAATCTCTCAACTCATTAGTTAAAATCAGTGTCATATGTTCTGGTCCATGTGTTCAGGAGTTCATGAGAGGAGGGGCGGCTCTCGATGACCTGATCTCTGACGTACTCGAACACGCGGAGAGGGAGTCTCTTCTCGAGATGGTGGAGAGCAGCAGCGGCAGTCTGAGACAACCAGAGTCTGGACAATCTGCAGACTGATGCACAAAACAGCTTCCTGTCAGGTGGACTGAACATGCAATATGTGGTGTAGTGGATGATTTTCTCCAACACATCCTACGGTACTGTGACTGCATACCAGGACTGAAAAATATATTATATCATCATTCATATTGCAATTTATGCTTGTGCAATAGTCACATTGCAAAGGATGCAACATAAGAGGAACTGCAACCATTGCTCATAATTAAGAGATTTTTATTTTTGTAATAAAATATGAAATTATATATTTTGTGCCATGGCAATTCCCTAAATAATGCTACAGCTTTACAGATGAGCAATATTTATGTATAAATTATAAATATTTTAGTATGGTTACTACTTTTCACGGTAAAAACTTGATGGTAAAGTTGAGTGTCTACACTGAACGTAAACAGACATCAGTACTGTTTATGGTGGGTAAGTATTCTTGATGGTTCTTTGCCAGTCAGGGTGCGGTAAAACCACATATCAGCTTTTTACACTCACTCACCAAGAGCATGTCACACCCTGTGTATGTGTGCCAGCTGAACAACAAACTCCATTTTTTTTTTCTCTGGTCATCTCTTATTATAAATGAATGTTTTCTTCACCGTGGCTGGACATTTTCTAACTGGTATTAATTAATTATGATGATTCTTTATTCACGCGTGGCTGAAAAGCTTTCCCTCCAATCAGTTAAATTTTGAAAAAAATGATTTTCTCAGTATCCAGACAGTCATCATTTATTGAGATCACATTTTCCCCATCTCATAATGTATGACATTCATTCACTTTAACTGACAAGTAATGCAATGGTGTTTCCACAGGGATGCCTTACTAGCCTTTCATAACTTACACTGGTAAAAAAAATACAGATGTGGAAAATACAAAAACTTTTTGAATTGCTCTGTATGGATACATTTGTGATTACCAGACTAAGACATGAAGACATGTCTTCACTAAAATGATCACGCCAGGATGCCTACAATATTGCGTAAACGGGATAATACCGACCTGAAGACTATAAAAGTGTTGCACACCTTCATTGCGACGGATCTCGGTACAGAAAAACAGCACTTATTGTGTCCAATGGTAGACATTTTTGGGATTAGAAAAAATGTTTTTTCAGCCAATTTGTCCTAAAAATGTTTATACAAAAAAAAAAAAAAAAGATTTGCGCACACTTCAAAGATCAAAACGGTGCATTTCAATGTCAGCACGTTCCTAGAAAGAGTTGTATTGGTGTAAAAGTCTCATTCTGGCTTGAAGTTTTGACGCGTTTGGGTCAGTCGTCATTGTCTCTCTGTCGGAGGCTCCTGGATTTGCCGTTCTGTGTCTTGTTCCTCCTGAATGAAGCAGGTCCACCTTCGTCTCCAAGGGAGGTGATGATGCGCTCCTTGAACTTGGGTTTGGGTTCCGGCGGCACGTCAGCTGGAGCGCTGGCTGTGGTTCCCTCCACCTGGGGCAACTGTAGGTCCACATTGGCACTGGAGAATTAAGAAAAAAAGAAACACTCGGTTTTCAGTAGCTACTGAAATAAACGAGTGGATCAATCCATAGTGTACCGGTATCCTAATTAACCACTTACAATGGATCCTCCTCTTCCTGGATCTGTTCCCAGGCCCCATATGGATTGGCAGCTTTGGGCCTTTTGGCTTGTGTCGCCACTTGTGTCGTCTCCTCCTCTTTCTTCTCCTCAGGTTCAGCTGTTGTGCTTTGGACCTCTTCCTCCTCTTTTTTCATCTCTTCAGTATCCTGTTTAGGAGTATCATCACTTGCTTTCTCTTCTCCCTCTTTTTCTGAAGGCTCAGCCTCTGCTTTCCTTTTCTGAAAACAAAAAAACGAGGACTGTGAGTTCTCGATTTTTTTTATTTTCCATAGAATCTGAACCAGCAGAAGTTAAAATTCTTTTTGCTAATACTCATGCACTTCTCTCACCCTGAAGCTGATCTTTGGAACTTTGGGCTGCTCACTGGCTTCTTCAGGGACCTCAGCCTCCTGAGATGCCTGGGCCCCAGCAGGGCTCTCTTCTCCTCCTGAAAGTGGCTCGGGCTGAGGGGTTAAAGGCTCCTCTTGACTCTCTTCTTCTTTGCAGGACCCAGATCCAGATGCCTCATTTGAAGGAAAGTCTGCTGGTTTCTCCCAGCTGGACTCTGGGAGGTGAGAAAGACATAGCGTGCGATTAGTAATGAAATCCAGCAATTAAGCACACAGAAAATAAGTAGAAGAAATTGTAAATGCATAAAAACATATTCCACCTCCAGTCTCTGTGTTATAGTAATATGTATATCCATCAGGACTGACGGCTTCCATCCAAGGACAGCCTGAAGAGCTCTAAAGAGAAACATAATATTAACATATAAATGCATACTATGAACAGAACAATACAATATAGTTTGAAATAAAATAAATATACTAAAAATGCACAGAAACAAAAACATTTGATTATTAACCTCAGTCTGTCCAGGGTGTGCAGAGGCTGAACTTTCTCCCCGGAAACCCCCCGGTTGTTCCCACTGAGATTCTGTAGTTAAAATACATAGACAACAAAATACCGCAACCACATCGAAAAGAGTCTGTTTGACCTGAAATATAAAACTATTGTGGGTTAACTGTCATGTTAAAGAAGAGTTGTATTTTCAGGTTTCCTTACCTCCAGTTATTGTATTGTAATAGTATGTCTGTCCATCATCTGTTTGTCCTTCAACCCAAACCCGCGTTGCTGTTTGCTTTGTGAACTTCTTGGTTGCTTTCTCTTTCTTTTGCTGTTTTCTGGGCTGGGGTTTTGCCTGAGGTTGTGGCTTAGCGGCAGTAGTTGTTTGGGGTGGTAAACCTGATCATAGCACAATAAGAATTAAATGTAATCAAAGAGCATAAGTTCTTCCCACATAGCCTCCACATTATTTCAATAAAATGTCAAATGTCAGTTACCTGCTGCCTCCCTTTCCATCCTCTTCAGATCTTCCTGATATGCTTTCATCGCAGCCTCCTCCATCGCTGCAAACTCTTTAGACATCCGTTCCTCCTGCTTCGCCTTTTCAATGCTCTTCTTTTTAATCTGCAGAAAGAAAGATAGGAGGGCATGAGTGACAACCGCTAATAGCCAATCAGAAGAGAGCTGTCAAGTCAGAGTGTTATGCCTGGACCTTATCTCCCCTGCCAGTCCTGAGAGCAGTGCCAAGACAGGCAAGTTTTTCTTGGCTGTTAGTATTGATACCTGTGTGTGTTACTGTGAACCCCAATTGATGAATACAGAACATTTGTATTTTTGGTTTATAGAAATGTTAATTAGGGACGCAACAATTAGCCAATTAGTCGACAGACAGAAAATCAAGCAACTATTTTAATAAAATAATAACCGAATAGTAATTTTTCAAGAAAGAACAGGCTGTTCTTTTGCTGTTTCTAGCATCTCAAATATGAGGACTTTGAGCAAGCAGACTGAGAATCTGCATGGGTAAGGTTCATTCAGATTATGAAATTCAACTCACATTACTAACTACGTTTTTGCTCAATTAACTGCAGGCATATTATCGATCTCGTTGGCAGCATTTCACCCCTGAAAGACGGAATATTTAGTCCCTGCTTAAACACAGAAAGAAAAAAGTAAATGTAAATACCTCTGAAATTTTGGCAGCCACATTTTCTTTGTGATTCTTCCCTCTTTCGTGGAATTCAATGCTCTGCAGAGGAAAACAAACACAAGGAGAGACATTAGTAGTACATTTGTGGAAACTTTCCTCAGCAACATGCAAAGCATATTTCCACCCACTCACAGGCTTATTGTCTGCAATCCAGCACTTGCAGTACTGACAGAATTTCCTCGGTTGTGACTTCCAGTAGTCGGCCCTGAAAATACACAAAAACAACTATTACTGGATAACAAACGTAAATGAGTTAGGTTATCTTTAGCATGGGCAACTGACGTGGCTAACTGTCCCAAATCCTGCCCAGGGCCAAATAAGTCACTGGCTCTGAACGTACAATTGAAATTCCCCGGTGTATCGATTTACTTACATTTTGGTTAGGTCTTTGTAGATTAAATTGCGACGGAGAATTTAAAACGAACCAAATAAAGAGACAACCGCTTCCCACATTTCAAGAATGACAACACCGTCCGTTACTGATGACGCCATCGCCCGTCGCAGAACAAACGAGCCTACAGGTTAAAATTAAATGGAAAAGGGAAAAGAGAAAAAAACTCCGCAAAAATAAAGAAATGTCGAAAAAAAAGCCTTTAAGAGGTTGTGGGGCACCTCGATCACAAAGGATAGCTTGGTTATTAAGGACGTCGAGCAGGATCTCTACCGGTTTGTTTTGATATTTTATTGCCCGCTGGTGGTGTAATATAGAAATGCTTTGTAGAAATATAAAATATATAAAATACAATACATAATAATAGCAATAAAATACAAATCTTGCAAATTATTCAGAACCAAAAGCACAAAAAAAAAGTATTGCCTCACAATGATTGTACATTATTTATTTATTTATTTATTTATTTTTTACATGCGATGATGTTTGAATTTGTTTCCATAAATAATATCAATATTTGAAAAACACAAATATAAAACAAATATATACACATTAATGAACTCATCAATGATTCATATTTATTTTTGTATTGTTATTCGATGGTGAACGGCGTCCCATATGGTCTAGCGGTTAGGATTCCTGGTTTTCACCCAGGCGGCCCGGGTTCGACTCCCGGTATGGGAACTACTCGTTTTGTTCGTTAATATCAGAGATTGAGTGCTGTTCATCTTCTACAAATTAAGTGAGCTTTCTGCGAACGGTATGTGTTCCTTTTTAGTGTAAATGCCCACAACAAATATTTTTCCCAATTTGATCAATGAAGTAAAAATTAAGTGGATACAAGATGGTAAACTGTTCAACTCCAAACTGCCGACTTCATGAAAAGGTTTGTGAGAAAATTACAGTATCTAAAACGTAAACTGTAAATAATGATTTTTACACCAGTGTTTTTAGGACACAGCTGGCTGCGTCATCACTGATTGCCGGGTCGAACGTTACGTATGAAGGCCGCGACTGACTGGCCGACTTTGGTTGAGGTTGAGCCGCTTTCGCCGGTGTTGGTGGTGGTAATCGGTTTCCTCGCCAGCGCGGTGCCGAAGCTCCGGGGCTGCCCATGAACGGCACCATGGCCGCATCCTCACACCGGATAATGCTGGGGCCGCTGGTTGCTGCCATCGACCAGGGAACGAGCTCCACTCGGTTTCTGGTAAGAGAGTCTCCCCTCGGTGCGAGCTAGCCGTGTTACATTTAATATTTGGCTCATAACCATGTCCTTGGCTGTATTTTCCAGCCTCTGTGTTGTCGCACACTCGCATTGTTAACCGGTGTGTTCGATGTTAATAAGAAGCTTTAAATGCGTAGCTCTAATTCGTGCTGCGTGTAAGTGTCCCGCAGGAGGACTATGACTGTTGTTACATTAGAGACATGTTTTAATTTATCCACGCAGAAGGTCATTTAAAATAGCTATACAGCAATATAAATACACACGTGACATAAGTTTTCTCTGATTAGCTTGTACCTCCACCCGCTTCTCAAATGTGAATATTATGCTGGTTTCATCAATCCATTCCATTACAGTTAATGAAGTATTTTTAGGTTTTGGGGCAAAACAAGTTCATTGAAAATGTGTGTTGAAAACCTTGATGGCCTTTTTTTCACAATTTTATGACGTCATATCGACCAAATAAGTAATCAATTAATTGACATGATTATAGGTAAATTGATCATCAAAATAATTGAACTTACACCGTATTTTTGTTTTCCTTTGCTGTTCTTGAAATGTCACGTGTAAATGTTTAGTGAAGGTTTTCTGTGTCTGGTTAATCCGGGGCCCAGCTTTTGAGAAATTTGCTTGTTGGTGCAATGTCTCATTTTGGCATCTCTTTAATCTTTTCTTGAAGGTGTTTATCCAATGTTGAGTTTCAAATGAGTTTTTATGCAATGTTTCTTTTCTAACAAATACAAAGGGCCTGCTTTATTTTCTGGGTGTGGCAGATAATTGTGAGCCAACAGTTTATTGTGGATTAGTTGCCTCACACTGAAAGAAACTTAACACCTGGTCACAGATGGCTGAAGTTCATTTTTGCTCTGTTGTCTCTGAACTAAATATAGAAATATGGAGTGAAATTTTATGGAAAGAAATATTTTGATTTCAGTTTTTCAGTGATTGTTGATTTCATTTTGTGACGCTTTAGGACCGAATGTGTGTTTATTTTGTGTTAGTATAAGTGTATTGTTAAAATCCCACAGAGAAATGCATGTAAGGTTACTGCTGAAGCTACTTTCTTTCTCTTGTGATGTTTCCTCTCTTTGAAGGTGTTTAATTCAAAAACAGCAGAGCTCCTCAGCCATCATCAGGTGGAAATCAAACAGAGCTTCCCCAAAGAAGGGTAAGTGAAGAGACTAAAGTGATCCAGTTACGAGTTAGATCCTAAAAGATGCACAGGCAATTTAGAAATCATTGTGTTTTTTGTTCTAATTTTCAGATGGGTGGAGGAGGACCCCAAAGAAATTCTGCAGTCGGTGTACGAGTGCATGGAGCGGACGTGTGAAAAACTCACCCAGCTCAACATAGACATCTCAAACATTAAAGGTATGCGAACACGGGGCTTAAAGGCTACCACTTGCTCTCCTTAAGCCGCACTCGGACATAATTGCCATCTATTTCAAGGAGGTGTTTACGATCTAAAGTCTTTGGAAATTGTTGCTTGAATTTGTCTAGCTATCGGAGTGACCAACCAAAGAGAGACCACACTTGTTTGGGACAAAGAGACCGGGGAGCCCCTCTACAATGCAATCGGTAGAGTTTTGTTTTGTTTCTTGTCATTTTTTGAAGATCATATCCATTTATCCTGGCGCAGATCTGACATTCTTTGATAATACAATACAGATGGAACTCCTATTGTGTAGCGGTGAAACTGGCAGCAAACTCACTCACCGATGCAATCAAGCAGCAGATAGGGTTGTTGGATTTGACTGATTTCGGTCGCTATGAAATAACTGCAGTGTTTTTGTTCAGTTTGGCTGGACCTGCGGACTCAATCCACAGTTGAACGTCTAATTAACAAAACGCCAGGAAGGAATAAGAACCACTTGAAGGTGAGATCCTCATCTGTTGTGTTAATTCCTCTTGACTCGCAGGTCAAGGCTGAGCGTGCAGTCTCAGTTTTCAAAGAGGTGCATTTATTTTCTTGTTCTTTGTCATCTTTTATTTCCATGTGATATTGATTTCAGCATGTCATTGTCATCCCGCAGCATAAAACAGGGCTCCCCATCAGCACTTACTTCAGCGCAGTGAAACTTCGCTGGCTGATGGACAACGTGGACGAGGTCCACGAAGCCGTCGTGTCTCACCGCGCCATGTTCGGCACCATCGACTCCTGGCTCATTTGGGTAAGAGAGCACAGACTCCCCGCCTCAATAGTTGTGTCTGTGTTATCGAAATTTTGTGTGTCAAAATGTCTTTTTACGGCCGTCCAACAGTGTTTGACGGGGGGCAAGTCGGGCGGAGTCCACTGCACAGATGTGACCAACGCCAGCAGAACTATGCTGTTTAACATTCACACTATGGACTGGGACCCAGAACTTTGCAAGTACGGCAGCTGTATTTCATCGGTCTTTAACTCCATCATGCTGCCGGTTATTTTAAAAAATATCACTGAAATAGACTGTGCTTTTACTTAGAAATTCATGCAATATATACCTAATATAGTTTATTTAAAAACTGTCGCTCTTTCTTTTAATTCTCATCAGATATTTTGGTATTCCCATGGAGATCTTGCCCAGAGTGAGGAGCTCTTCAGAAATATATGGCCTAATGGTAAGTCAGTCAGTCTGTTGCCAAGCCTAGTCTACCAACAATTTATCACTAATAAGTGTTTTATATTAACTTTTTTATTCCAATAATTTCATTTCTGTGTCTAGTGTGACTAGTGTCGTGTTAAAGAGTGGAATGTCTCACGCAACAGGCCACTGATAAGATAATAGATGTTTGTGTTTGTGCGTGTTTATTTTCTTTCTCAGTATGCTTCCAGACTGTTTTTTAAGTGCATGACGTTTGACTGAGAAATCCTTTTAGGCATTTTTTTTTTTGTGTGCCATTGTCTCTCTTTTCTCACCGGTAGAAAATATGTTCTAGCCGGGTAAGTAAGACTCGCCATCATTATTTTACCTCATCATGCAAAGTAACCCGCCCCCGCTTCTCCGTGGCCACAGCGAAATGCCATCACACAGTGCATTTCCAAGACTCATGTGGATATTTTAGAAGCTGAGCTGTTTTGATTAATTGATTAATCAATTAATTTTGCCTTATAACTGCTTGTTGGAAAGTCATGGTCAGAGTTTGGTCTATTTTCAACCAGCTGTCCTATTTTGCTAAACGACGTGTATCCCATCAGTGAAATGAACATCGAACAGATCGGACAGGCATGTAGAAACGTATAGACGCACAGCGTTTGATGCAGTAACCAAGCTGTAAACCCGAAGCACAACACACTCACCGCCGCTTAGTTGTAACTAACATTTTAACTAACATGATACATTTGCTGTTGTATTAAACATTCGAGCTAATTCGTCACACCACCAGAATTCGTATTGACACCAATTAGCTGCGGGTAGTCGGAGCAGTTGAACATCGTATAACTGACCCCGAAGCAGTTTCTACATCTTTTTCTTCTTGTGCAATCAGGCATACATCTCTATCAGCCGCAGTAAATAAAACTCAAACGAAAGGCTGCCCTGGCGCAAATCTTACAGTGTCCAAAATGAACTCTTGGGGTGAGAGTACTGTTCCAGCCCTGCGTAGTGTCTGCGGTTATTCCTTTCAGGCCGCATACACCCCATAACAACTTCTGTCAACAAATCGGTGTATATAGCCTGAGAGGAAAGACTCTCAAAGCACTCCCTGCAGCTCCTTGAACTTGTTGCCTTGAGCAAAGGATAATAACAGAAGATGACTTGTATGAAAATACCAACATTTATATCAGCCCCTCCATTCTCTCATATGGACAACAGCAGTTTGACAGTAAGAGGACAATGTTTTCAGAGAGTGTTGCTCTGTGTCTGCTGGATGTTTAAATAAGCAACCGTTTGCTGACATGATCACCGTAATAACCATAAGTCAATGCCGTGATCACAGCTTGTTTTGGTGCCCCCAAGCTGCCAGTTGCAGGTTTATCTGTCTGCACAGCAAAGAGACAGTAAAAAAAATCAGTCTGGCTTTGACACAGGCCCGACTGTACTGAAGACCAAATTTACCAGCTTCTGTTTTGTGGTTTTGAACCCAGCAGACACACACACTCGCACTAACATAAGGACACACACACACATACACTCTATTGTAAATGTGCTGGATGGTCCCTCTCCCTCATTGCTTCTGTTGTGGCATGATACTCGGCCGGTTGTCACTGACGCCCACAGTTTTCCCTGACAGACCATCTTCCGTCTCCTAAATCTCTTCACTCTTTGGCACAGTTATATTTAACCAACTTTTATCTTTTGTCTTTACACATCTCACCAAAACGACACATAGGAGTGAAGACATTTTCATTTAAACCGGTTCACACTTGCCCTTGTTTTCCCTCACTGTGTTTCCACTGTTACAGTATTGCCTTATGTAAAAAAAAAAAGAAAAAAAAAAAAGAGCAGTGGTAGAATAAAAATCAGCATAGTTTTGTTATTTGGCTTCATGTAGTCAAATAATGAGGAAGTCCCTTTTTGTTTTCAGTGTTGTGACTTGAAATGAATGTTTCTCCGCTGGTGACTGATTGTATTTCTATTATTTTGTGAAAATATCGCTGTTGATTTGTTATTTGACCAACAAATGCCCACTTGAATTATACCCAAGTGCATAATTTCAAGTTTCGATAATACTCATGATGTGGTGGTACAACCAGAAATACAGTAGAATAGAACTACTGGAAAAAAAAAAAAAAAAAAGCACACAGTTCACTTGTAAAACAATGAATCTTCTTTTGACAGAAATCAGGATCTCTTTCAGGTATTCCCATTTCAGGGGTAAGTTTTTTTTTGTTTTTTTTTACTTTGCTAACATTGTCTCTGTGTACATCATGTGACCTTTTTTATTATGTGATAAATGCATCTATTTGCTTTAAAAACAGTGTCTTGGGGATCAGTCAGCCGCACTGGTTGGACAGATGTGTTTTCAGGACGGGCAAGCTAAAAACACGTAAGAGGCTTTGTGTGTGGATTTTTTTTTTTTTTTTACATTGTCTTTGGGTTTTCCTTTTTGTTAGAAGTTCAACAAAAAGTTAGATTTCTCATGTGTTCTCATGGCCAGGTATGGAACTGGCTGCTTTCTCCTGCGAAACACTGGAGCCAAGGTACAATAATTAAGATTTGTATTTGAAACACTCATATAAATATTGACACCCCTTCACACATTGCACACACTGCTGTTTCTGTTGTTTTTCAGCCTGTAATGTCTGACCACGGCCTTCTGACCACCGTGGCGTACAAACTTGGTCGGGACAAACCTGCCTGTTATGCGCTGGAGGTACAGGATGTTAATACACTTTTGACAGGAATATTAATTATAATATGTAAGGAAGAAAAAAAGTTCACAATCTGAGAATTCATAGATTCAGCTGCACGATTTTCCTTTTGTCGACCTCAAAGCAGTCGACAGGCAACAGAGGATGCGAGTCAGTCAATTCAGGTGATTTGTGTGTTTGTTTGTTTGTTTTTAAAATTCCGCTACTTCTTGCCAGGGCTCCGTGGCCATCGCAGGAGCTGTGGTTCGTTGGCTGCAGGATAACCTCGGCATCATCGGATCGTCCGAAGAGCTCGGTACATCCTGCTCCTTTCTGTTCAGAAAAATCGTCGCGGCGGTCACCTTCTGCAGGACTGCTGTATCATTTAATTTCTTGGATAAAAACAAAGTTGGATAGCTATTGTGCACCCTACAACAAAGAAGTATAAATCATTAAAAGGACGTCCATGTTCCTTTTGTGTTTCTTTCCCTGTGCAGAGAAGTTGGCCGCATCAGTCGGTACATCCTACGGTTGCTACTTTGTTCCTGCATTTTCAGGTCTCTATGCACCTTACTGGGAGCCTAGTGCAAGAGGGTAAGACCAAGAGCTTCTCTGTAGTTTAGTAAACATGTCTAAAATTACTCACACAACCCGCTGAAATAATTCTTACTCTCTGCTTCACTCACTATTATTTTTTCTCTGTGTCACAGGATCATATGTGGTTTAACTCAGTTTACTAATAAGAGCCACCTCGCATTTGCTGCGCTGGAAGCCGTCTGTTTCCAAACACGAGAGGTAAATGTGAATATTCCCCGTCAGGACGTGTTTATTTTTTATCTGTTTCTTGTGTATGTGAATCGACGCGGCTGTGTGTGTGATAACCGGGGACGTTTGTTTGGGTACAGATACTGGACGCCATGAATCAGGACAGCGGCATCCCGCTAACTCAGCTCCAGGTGGACGGAGGAATGACGTCCAACAGGCTGCTGATGCAGCTGCAGGCCGACATTCTCTGTATCCCCGTTGGTAAGGTTTCCATTTATTTCTTATCATGTTTTCAGGTATTTAGTCACGTGCGAGTCAAAAGGGAACAGCGGGTACATGACATTTCTCTTCATGACAGTTTATTTGCCCTTTTGATATATATCATGAATAATATGATAGTCAAGGAGAGGAGGAGTCATTTGTCTTTCAGACTAGTTTAACGTGAGACATTTAACACACTTAAATAAATCATTTCTTCAAACTATAAGACATTCTAATTACAAGCAGTATTAATGAATATCAATTAATGCAAAAAAAATTCTGACATTACTTCATCCCAGTCGATATGGTTCGTGGCTATAGTTCAACTCATCTGTACAGAGTTTAAATACATCCAGCAGCGCCATTGTGATCAAAAAATCTTATTTCCTCTCAACGTGGGTGCAATTAACAGAACTGGCACACATGCCAAGTGTCGTGCCAAATAGAAACTTGTAACAAACTGTGGCAGTCACCAGACTGGATCCTCAACCAGCAGGTCACTCATGCAAAACTGTGTACACATTTATTTATTTATTTATTTATTTATTTATTCATACATACATAAAACATTGGCAGGGTAGTCCCGATGTGTCAAACTGTTGTATCGGTATACAGGGTATTAATTAGTGACCTCTGCTGGCCTTGTAGAGAATAATCACACATCATTTGGACAGTTTAAAAAACAAAAACGGTTGTTTATGTGCCAGTATTTATTCCAGCATGTCATTTAACTGTTTTACTGAATATTTCCAGACTGTGTCTAAAATGCAAATGTAAACACTGTCCATACAGCGCATCAAAAAACTGTTTTGGTGTCGTTATTGCTACTACTAAGTGATATGAAGAAAAGTAGAGCGTAAAGCTGCGTATTGCTATATGACCGTTACCGATGAGTTACATCTCGTTATATCTGATTAAAATTGCATCATTTTGTTTTCAGTGAAGCCGTCTATGCCCGAGACCACAGCACTCGGTGCAGCGATGGCAGCCGGGGCAGCGGAGGGCGTGAGCGTGTGGAGTCTGAACCCCGAGGACCTGAGTGAAGTCACATCAGAGAAGTTTGAGCCTCAGATCAACCCTGAAGGTACAGTGAGCCGGCGCTGCTCTGCACACGCCTGAAAAGATGGGACGATGTCCTCAGTAGAGTTATAAATTTCCTGCGTATGTGTTCGGCAGAGAGCGAATTTCGGTACGCACGGTGGAAGAAGGCGGTTCAAAAATCCATGAACTGGGAGACGACAGAGCCTGTCGGAAATGGAAACGGTAGGCAGGACTGCACTGAGAACAAGCCAAAACTGTGGGATATCTTCCAATGTTACAGTCTCATTAGCTCCAAATTCCCACTTTGTGTTATTGTCCCTTTGCTGTGGCTCTATCTTTTAAAACCATTTGGCTGTAGGATGTACCATAACATGATTGAGTCAAAACCGAATTCTTCACTTAATAATGACACACACGCTCAGGGATTTTGAGATAAAGCCTGATTTGTAATGAAGAAAAAAAGGAAACTGATCAAAATATAATGACATGAAATGTTAATTTTCTCAAAATCAGTCAAGGCAGATTTTGAAAAAACATTTTCTCTTTGACACGGTTCAGTGATGACAAATTAAGACCTTTTTAGTTTTCTAATGAAGCTGGTAAAGACCGTATTGTGTTTCAGTGCCCAAACCGACCCTGTCAGTTAGCCTTCATATCTTTCTGAAGGCGACTACACAGAGTGCAGACTTCTGACTTTTTGATTTTTGACTTTATTGTTCAGAGTGATTGTTTTTCTGTCTTGACCAAAAGGTGAAACTAGTATCTTCAGCAGCGTCCCACTGGGCTTCTACATCATGGGCAGCATGTTGATGTTAATCGGTGCAAAATACATAGCAGGTCAGTATCTACTTGAGTATGCGTACACTGAGTGTATTAAGCACGATATTGTTTTTCAAAAAAAGCCATAGTCTAAACATCTTAGAATCACAACCGTTTGTCACGCCACTGAGCTGGCTCGATGTCAGCTGCGCTTCCAAGTATAAACAAACCGCACACGATTATTACAAGCAAAAGTGAAATATGACAAAGCTTGTCTGTCTGTGTCAACATTAGGCCACACCTAGGCTCAGACTCCCGGAGCCATCAAAGATGGAAAGTGGAAACAATCGCTCTTCACGCTGGACCACCTGTACTCTTTTGCACTGTTTTTCCAAAAGGCATTCCAGAAGAAGGACGTTGATGACGAATCTTACCACTGACTGGAAAAGCAGGACAAATTTGAACTGACTTTTCTTTATCATTCTCATTGTTTTTTAATCTATTTTTCTTTACAGCAGACAAGAGCACATTGTTACATTGGACATGAATTTTAGCAGGAGTGCGCATGCAGTTTTTTTTTTTGTTTGTTTTTTTTTTCACTGGTGATACAGTATGAACTCAGCTTATTTATGTAGAAACTCTGATGACGGTAGTTCAGGTTGTTATCTTTCCACACTGGTGTTTAATGAAACTCACTGTCTAATTTGCATTACTTGTTGTAATTCGATATGTCACTGTTATCACTTGAACGTTCTTCCAACAGTCATTATGTGATGTTTTGTTGCTGGTTAGGGTTAACCTCAACCCTTTTTATATTTTTTGCTTTGTGTCATGGGAGCGGTGTACTAACAAGAGTCTATATATATATATATATATATTTATTTATTTTGTAACAGTTGGGATTAAGACACATAAAGTTTGAAAACAAGGGAAGGAAGGAAGGAACAGGGGTTAATGAACTGACAAGTTTGCTTTTTGATGAAATTGACGTTCTTTTACATACATGAATGTTTGTAAAAATTCAATGTGTATGTTGCGTAACGGGCAAACATGCGATGAAGGGCAACGATAAGCAACTGGCACACAATTTTGGATTTCTGTGTTCACACAATACATATAGGCATTCTAGGAGTAAACGGGCAAATGTAAATAGGTTTATTTCTGTGAATTTGACGGAAGCCAGGAAGCTAAGAACACAGTTAGGGGATAAAATCTTAATCAGTTGGTTAATGTTTAATTTATGTTGTAGACAAAATGTAGGTCTGAAGCTTTTTTTTTTTTTTTAAAGGCCTGTCACGGTTGTCAGACCGGGCCTTGTTGCTCCTCTTGTGAATCTCTGTTCTGTTTTGTGTGTTTTCTGGACCTGATTATTAGTTTTTATTTTAAAAAAGCCAAACAAACAAAAAAAAAAAACAAGGTTAAGATTCACTTTTATGAATTCATTGTTTATTCAATTCACAAGTCACATTATGCAAAAATTTTATGTTGAACAAATCAAATGCAAGTGTTTCACATGCACCCTTACAGATGACTCATTAAGCAGTTTCATTGCACTAAAATGTTGAGAGTAAATTATTTAATTGAGAGGGAGCTTTATGAAACCATAGACCTCTTTAACTAGTTCCCTTTAGTGTATCGTCAAGGTTGGAAGAGATAACCTTGAGGAAGTAGAAGTGTGAAAATGAATGTCAGTATTTATTATATTGCCCAACAATTGTCATGTTTGTCTACCGTGTGGATCAGAAACCGAAAGAAAGTCAGCGCTTCTGTTTGATGGAGGCGTAATGGGTGTTTTGTTTAAGAAACGGTTTAACGTTTGCTCTGGATAATTAAGCATTTATTTATTGAATTATACAGTCCACGAGAGGTATGAAATTACTCGGTGTTGACAAAACTCTGCGTGTATGTAGTCGGTTCTTATGTACGGATACAGGTGTTACGGGAGAATAAATGTCAACAAAAATGAACTCGCTTTGTCTTGAATTTTCCTGTTGCACTTTGGTTTTGTATGTTGCAAACCAAAAATATCATTTATACCCATGTGATCACATATAAAAGTGGCTGACAACAAACTTTTTTTCTTTGTTTTATTAGGCTAATCATTCATTGTTTCTTGGACCGTGGGGGTTAATCTGTAACCATAAACAGAACTTTGCTTTCTGCAAATCTATTGTTGTCTGTTAAGTGGCTTTTTATAAAAAAAAAAAAAAATCTTTTCCCCACTGCGTTCATGACAAACCCAGGCTGTATTTGTGAAGCGCTACCTGCCTTTCTTTAAATCTCAAGAAATATGAGCTGTTGACAAGGGAGTGGTTTGTGCCAACAGCAGAACAAGTTATTCAGTACTTGCTCTCAAACCTGCTGTATGTTTCAGCTCTGAGACACGGGCTCCATCCCGCAGATGTTCCAGTTGTGCTGCGCAGCTTGATCAGTAAGTCTTTAACAGATGTCTAAAACTACAAAATAGGGATTTTCTGTTGTTTTTTTTTTCTCCACAAGCTTAGTGTCAAAAATGTTACAAAAGCAAAGGCAGAACAGTGTTTTCTTTATTATATACTTAGCAGGAAATATTTGTTTAATTACATATAACTCACTTTTTTCCTTGCCATACTCAGGGTTGATATGTGAAATATGTCATGCGGTTCAGGTACTTTATTCACTTACAAAGGCCTTATTGTTCAGAAGCTTTTCTTATGTATGCAGAGCATTGAGGTCATTTGCATATTAACTGACCTTTAGCAGCTAGTTTGGATGTTAAACTGACTGGTCGCACTGACTTTTCTCGCACACTATTTTTTTTATTATTCACAAGATGTGCAGATAAGGATTTACCTTTAAATATATTTTCCTCAAAGGATCCTGTTGTTCTTATAAAACTATTTGGTGTCTGACTCGGCCTGAAATTTCAAAAAGCGAGCAAACTATATTGAGCTGGGTTTACTGTAATACCTTTACTTTGAAAGTGACATCAAGCTCTCCTCAGTAACGTGTCAACCAGGAAGTTGAGCCAGGTGTGGGACATTTTGTCTGGCAGCAGTTCCTCATTTCTTGCGGTGACAGGCAGAAAGGTGCAGGCAAGTGATCCCGTCATACACGCTTTGTAATTACACCCTGTCAATCAAACTTTGCCGATTGCACCGTTTTGACATTCAGTTTACATTCCAGGTGTGTGAGAGAAGAGAAAGTTTGGCTCCAAGCGGTGTGGCGTGTTAATGCATAACTCCTTCAACATGTTGGATCCAAGAGCGGGTGAGAGCAGAGGAAACCAGATTCTGTCAACGGCCACCGACTTCAGCCAGGATTATAAAGGTCAGTCTTTAATTATGGTGAAGAGATATGCTCCAAATTCAAAGGTATGAGATTCTATACACACACACACACGCACAGAGTCTTTAATTTTCTTGTCCTCGAACATGCGACTCCACTTGTTTGGTCTTGACACAACAGGTGGACAAGGAAGTCCACTTGTTTACTGTTGACGTTCGAGAGCAGGCCAATACTTTGTATCACGGCCCAGTGCTTTTATCTAACCGACCTTGTACTTTCATTAGAAAATGAGCCCAATAACATAAAGTTGTTAGACAATCATGATTAACATTTTTACAGCGCAAGTCACTTTAGCTCTATTATACAATCAATTATACAAGGTTACTTGACATGTTGATATTGACATGTTAAACACATTTTACTCTGACTTTAACACATCACTTTCAAGAGTGAACTAGAAGTATTAAGTAGCGTGAAATGGAAGTAAAGAACGAGTACCTCAAAACTGTATGTAAAGTACAGTGCTTTTCACCACTCCTTTGTATTTCTACTCTACTACATTTCAGGAGTTTTACTTGTAATAAAGTATTTGACATTACATGATAGCTGTTTTTTTCCCCAGGCTTTCTTATCACTGATCCCAGGCCACCAGGATACATCCAAGCTATGCAGAAGAAGAACACAGTGAAAGAGCTGCTAAAGATGAAACGACAGGTTTACGAACAGGTATTTCAACATGGTCACGACCACGTTAAGACAACTTCAAGATACGTTAGATAAGTTTTCTGACAGGGTTTCCTTGTAAGTGTTGCAATCAACTCCATTATTCACCCGTTTGTAAAAAGTATATATACGTGGGAGTCTTATATTATTATTATGGTATATTATTATATTACACAAGTTATGTTTACGAGGATAGACAAACTTTGAGTACGAGGAAGAAGTAGCAACAAAGCAGATCTTCTCAAGATTGGTATGCAAATCGTTCAAAGTGTGGGTGTGTATGTTACAAAAGATAGGCCAAATGACATCCACATGCTTGCATAAAACGATTCACCATTTGAACAACAATAACAGTTTGGAAATGATTCTCTTTTAGGAATGGAACTTCTCACAGGAGGGCACCAACATGGAGCATGAATTTAAATGTGCAAAATTGGAACCCTTTGACAGTGACGCGAGTCCTCACGTATTGAGCCCTCATGCACCAGCAAGCCCATTTACCCCAAATTTCACTCCCGCTTCTTCTCAAAACGGTCACATTACCCCACAACAAATGCAACATCCAGCTCCGCAGGGACAAGCGGCCCCGACCACGGAGGTCAAAATGTCTTTATTTCACTGGCAAATACAGCAGGAGGCAAAGAGAGTCGGAGGAGTTTCCCCTGAGCTGCTGAACACGCAAGACGCGGATGGTGACACGTACGTACGGGTGAACAAAGGCGGTATTTAGACCAGCGATTCCCAAACACAGTCGTTGCAAAGGTGTACATAAACAGCAAAATAGGATTACAATTTGGCACGATGCTGATTTTTTAAATAAATTTATAATAACCAGTACGGCGCTTGTCAAACTAGAAGGACACTCGGAGAGCGCAGACCTCCGCCAAAGCCTATGGGGGAAAAAAAAAAAAAATCAAATTCATAGTAAATGATCATGACCTCTCCCAAAATTGAACGGGCCTTTTCCTGGCCCACGCTTCATCCCTCCAACAAGTTCGGTGACAATCGGCTCAGTATACCGATGAAAAGACAAAAAACATAGTCCCCCATAGTCAGACCTACGTCCACATACCAGGGCCGTCGTAGCGAAACGCCAAGCCCGCGCACGGGATCAAAAAAACCACCATTTTAAAGAGAATCGCCGAAAATGAACCAAAATTGAGTAGGGCTGCTGTTTCACCATTGTAGCATGATGTATCTTTCTATTATGTGTGTGGGTTATATTTCTAAATATCATAATAGCTTATGACAGGCTTTCAAGAGAGTCAGAGTGGATCTTCAGGACAGGGAAAGATACTCGCGGTTGCAACATCCGGGATGTTGAAATAGGTCTATATTTATTCAAAATAATAATAATAATAATACATTTTATTTATAGGCGCCCTTCAAGGCAATCAAGGACACCTTAGCTAAATGTGCTATTGCTAGCTTTAAAAAATAAGCAAAAGTAATTGGCCATTTTCTTTTCCAACTGCCAGATTTCTGCACATCGCAGTGGCACAAGGTAGACGGGCTCTGGCATATGTGCTTGCTGCAAAAATGGCCATCTCTGGCTCTCTGGACACGAAAGAGCACAACGGACAGGTACACACGGTCGTACGCGTTTATCTCACTGAATTAGTACTAACGGCTTATTTATGCTGAGTTTCATACTCTTTGTACACAGACGGCGCTTCACATTGCGGCCACCACCAATCAACACTTGATTGCGCACGACCTGCTGGCGCACGGAGCGCAAGTCAACACTCGTGACTTCTGGGGCCGATCTCCTTTGCACGTGTGTGTGGAGAAAGGCCACTTTCTCAGTCTTCAGGTAAGAATTCAGCGTTAGTATATTATGTCAGAAAAATGTCACAGTCTAATATGTCATAAAAATGTCAGAGTATAGTACGTGATGAAAAATGTCATAGTACAGTATGTTATAAAAAGTGTCTTTAGTGTAGTAAATCATAAAAATGTCATAGTATAATGTCATTAAAAAAAAAAAAATGAGAGTCAGAGGAGGGGCCTCCCAGGAGAAGGCAGTGTAGAGTGGAGGTCAGTGTGAAGAAGGGTAGGAGAGGGCAGGGCAGGGCAGGGCAGGGCAGGGCAGAGGGAAGGAGGAGAGGAGAGGAGAGGGAAGGGTAGAGGACGGATGGGAGCGTGAGCTATTAGAACTTCTGAACTCAGTGTGTCATTCTTTCATCTGAGTGTGAGAAAACATTACACCATTAAGAATTGAACCCACTGTCTTTAGATATTATTATCCATTAAAAGATTGAGCTTTCTCTTTGCGCGCCAGCCTTCAAACGCTAAGGACGAAGGCCGCGTTTTCACAACAGTCTTCTAATTGTGTGAGCTATCCGGTCAGATAAGCGAATCCTAATTGTTTGAGCTTTTGGCGCTGGGCTTCAAAACTCACTGTAGCGCCCGAGGATGAAACCCGAGACTTCAAAACTTCAAAGTGGTTCTTTACACGACATCTCGCTGGCGCCCCTTGTAAGTCTGTGACAATAAAGCTCCTGCCTATGCCGCGTTTAGAAAATGTATAGTTGTAGTTATTCTTTTTATTACTTATTTCCACAGAGCATCTGGAGGACCCTACGTGGGAGCGGGCGACCGATCGACATCGACGTTTTCAATTACGATGGTGAGGATGTTTTATTTTTCTGAAAACTTGGGAATGCTGATATAAAATATCTCTGCGATTGAATAATACCGTTCTCTCTCTGGAGGTTTAACCCCACTCCACGTAGCGGTCCTGTCTCACAATGCGGTCGTTAAAGAGCAGCGGCGTCTGGAAAATCCTTGTACGTATATGGTGGCGGAGCTGGTGCGGAGGAGACGGGCGCTTGTCGAATGTGTTAGGACTGTGCTGCTCATGGGCGCCTCCCACGGGACCAAGGTAACCGTCACAAGCCACGCGGTCAAGCGATACAACAGTTAAAACTCTGTATTAGGTGCAGCGTCGCGTCGTCAGCGTCGCCCAACTCGGAGGCTACAAAAATGACCTTTTTCTCGTGCGGTGTTTTTCGTTTCATTCCCGCAGGATCTGAAAAGCGGACGGACTTGTCTTCACATGGCTTCTGAGGAGGCGAATGTGGAGCTGTTGCAACTTTTCCTCGACCGGCCGTCCGCGCCGACCCTTGTAAATATTAAGGTTAGTCGTCGTTTGGGTCGACGATATCCTGAGGTCGGTTTTTCTTTTCACTCTAAGGCAGACGAGACATCGACAAAGCGGTTAATCTGTAGAAAACAAAAGTTGCCCTTAATCAAACACGACAAGACAAAGAAAGAAAACGCTGAACTGATGGCAGGAGAACTTGGAATTGAATTAGCTACAGACTTTTTGCAAAATGCTGAAGCTCAAACTGCGTGTAATGTGTACTTTTGCATCTGTACGTTTCAGACATTCAGCGGAAACACCGCCCTGCACATTGTCAGTTCTTTGCAAAACTGTCAAACTCAAGTGGAAGCGGTGAAGCTGCTGATGAGAAAAGGAGCCGACCCCGGGTTCAAAAACTTTGAAAATGAGCTTCCCTCTCAGCTGGTGCCCGAAGGACCCGTCGGTGAAAAGGTAAGGTGCGAAATCACGACTACAGCTAAAAAGCCCGTTAGACTGCGAGAAATGAAATGTAAGGCAGTGTGATCAATTATACCACTTTCAGTAAAAAAAGAAAAAAGGAACAGGTAAATTAGACGTTATAAGTGACATGCCGATGATTTGATTTTTGTCTTTTTTTCAGGTGCGGCAGATCCTGAAAGGAAAACGTGTTTGCGCTTAAATGAAGCCAAGAAACACTGTCAGTCAGACAGTCGACTCTACCTAAATATTATTTGCCAAAACAAGGCAGATGCAGGTTGTTTCGGTGAAACATGCCACATTGTTCATTACCATGTAGTGCTCAAAGGAAAGTTATGACTGGTCAAGCTATGACTTGTGTTTATTTTTGTTTTTGTTTATTGTTTTAGATCTTGAAGCGATACTTTAGGTTTGCTGTGGAGTAAGTGAACGTCTTGTAGATAAAGCTCGCAGTCATCAGTCGGGAGGAATCACGGTCGTTTGGACAGATTTCACTGTTAATACCTTATGGGATCATTTGGGCTATTTAAAAATATGCATATTTTCTCGACATGTAAAATAACGCAAGTCACGTCGACGTAATTTTATTGCGAAAAGGTTTGAGTGTGATGTTTGTTTCAAGAGGTTTCAACATTGCACATTTTGTACATATCGATATATAACTATACAGCACGCCGTGCATTAAGAATGTGTGTGATTTTCAACTCAATAAATAGTCTCTTCACAATGAAAAGTTTAAACTTGATTTTGATGTTTCCCGATATATTTTTCCCACAGGTGTAAAAATGGGTTTTGACCGATTTTAGTTGAGGTTCTGGCAATCATACCGGCGATCGCCGACAAAACGATCGAACCGCTTCGGTCAATAATCGATCCGACGATGCGGTCCGATGTTGAAATGTATTTATTTGAATTTGTTTCCAACCATCAACTTACACGTTCATACAGTGTCGTCCGGTTATCCCCGTGCGTTTACAATAATGTTGTACAGACACACGGAAAACATTTACAGTTTACGTCAATGAAACGCCAGACGCCATCGTGGCAATTTTCAGCAAACAGCTGTCAAATATAAATGTAGAAAAAGTCGACAGAGGACATTATTTTCGGGAGTCTCTTCTCCCGGTCTCGGCCGGTTCGGTGACCGGTTTCCAAAAAGCTCCGGGGCTCCGAGATCCTCTTTGCCCAGATGTCAGTGCCGCACGCGCTTTTCATCATTTCTTCTTCTTGTCTTGCGTGGTGGCGAACCACTGGTCCAGCAGCTTCTTGCTGTAGTAGATCTGCCAGCCGTGCACCTGGACGGCGATGACGACGGCCAGGTACATGACGGAAACGGCCGAGAAGCCGAAGATAAAGCGGTAAGCTTTGCCGTGACGATAGAGCTGCTGCGCCACGGGGAACATCTCCATGCTGCCGTAGATAAGCGGGGCCACGCAGAAGAGCCCGGCTCCGATCATGGAGATTACCAGGTAGCTGATGTTGTTGCGAGGCAACGCCGAGAAGCTGAAGACTGTGGGAATTATGCTCAGGAGGTAAGGGTACTCCCACTGGTAAGGTGAGGCCACCACCTTGTGGGACACCAGGTTCAGCTGGCTCACAGTTACCTGAGAAAGAAGAGACGTTAGAATAAAAAATTGTTTTTTTTTTTCCAAGGTTTGTGTCATTTAATCGGGCTTTGCAATTACCTGAGCTGCCATCAGGATCCAGATGAGAAGATGGACAATGTTGAGTTTGCGGATCTCAGACTTCAAGGCGACACTGACAGAGAGGCGAGCGATCCCGTCATTTCAAGGAAAAAAACAAAAAAAAAATTCAAGTCACTGATGCGTTCATCATTATATCGCGGCACCGTTTATCGAGGGTTTATGAGCTGCAAATAAAATGAACAACTAAAAGCGCTTTGAGAGTCAGTCAGTCAGTCAGTCACTTGCGATTATAAACGTTAATATTAGAAGAATGTCTGTTTCTACTAGACCATCTTCAAGCTCAAAGGAGACAAACAATGAATAGAAATGAAATAAAATAGTCAATCAATAATCTTCAAATGGAATCATAATGTCAGCTGTTTATTTTATTCCCAGGTTCTAGTAGCAGTTGTAATGTTATACAGGAATCGATGACCGCAGATCATTTAACCTGCATTATCTCAGATCTAGGACTATTGTAATGCAGACAAACTGCGAATAATTATATTTCTTCATGGGGGAGGCTCTGAGACTTCCTCTTTGTAAAAATGACATTACTATAATTCAGTATTGAGACACAATTACATTAATGATTTTGTAAAGGCTAAAAAGCTGTTATTGAATGTTGTATACACACACACACGCGCGCGCGCGCGCGCTACTTACCTCATTTGGTAGTGTGAAGCAACGCGCTCCCGGTGCTGAAAGTCACTGCCGTCGGTACCTGCTGCTCTCGGACCTTCTCGAGAAGCCATGGTAAATGTCTGAAAGCAGAACACGTCGAGTCTTAATGAAGACAAGAGCCGCTGTGATTACAATAAAAAGGTTAAGTTATGTTGTAAGAGTCTCCCCCCTGAGCAGAATTGAATAGCTAGCTAACTAACTGTTCGGTTACGTAGTGTCGGCTAGGTTTCTGTAGCTTGACATAAGGGCCAGGAAAAAGTTTTGAAGCTGCTGCTGCTGCTGCTTAGTAAAACACACGAGCGGTTAATCGCAGCACTTACCTTTTACGTGTCAGTGCTCATAAAAAGCCTGAAGGTATAAATATGCGGGGTAACACAGACAGTCGTGCTAGCCGAGTACATCCGTGCAAGGGAGAGGTGACGGACGTAGAGGAAGTGTGACATCTCAAACTCCGATTGGTCAGAATCTCTCCAATTCAAACTAACTTTATTGATACGACGATACAAGTTCAAAATAGGTTTACAACATAAACTTTGTTTTTGTATACTTTAGTAAAAGAAAAAGAAATCGCCGCAATCAAATGGTTAAAGAGTAAAATATTATGCACCGTATTTATGATGATAACGAAAGGTGAAATAGAGGTGACTGTAATGTTAAATGAGGAGTTTCATTTGTTGTTTCGCTGGCTTCCCCCTCAGGCTGTCTATTTGTAGTAGAGTTTTGGTTGTTTTGCATCTCTGTCTTGTTGCGGCGGTCTCACTGAACGTATTGACCGGCTGCATTGGCGGCTGTATGAGTCGGTCACGGGGAGGATCTGTCAGCTAACTCCACGCTTCTCCGTCGGTGTCACGTCACACTGACTGCACGGAAGTTACCGGCATTTGTTTACAAGGAGCAGAGCGCGGATGGATCGGGGATGACAGGCACACGAAACATGAAAAGTTTGAGTTGTAAAACACATTTATCACGACACAAAAACGATATAGACCGAATAGAGCTGTTAGTAAGTAAGTAACCGGAAGATAGCAAGAGCTGCGAGGACGAAGAAAACAAGCGGTTTTCAAGGGACTCAGACGAGGATTCCGAGCCCTCGTGATCCGTGTGAGGACGTGAGTACGGCTCCTGTTTCACCGTTGTAGCATGATGTATCTTTCTTCTAAATTATATTTATAAATATCACGATAGCCCATGACAGGTTTTCAAGAGTTGTGGGCAGTAATTGGTGGGAGAAGTGAGAGGGAAGAAAAAGAAAAAGAAAAAGCAAAAGAGAAGGAAGGAAGGAAGGAAGGAAGGAAGGAAGGAAGGAAGGAAGAGGAGGAGAAGGAGGAGAAGAGAGAGAGAGAGAGAGAGAGAGAGAGAGAGAGAGAAAGAAAGAAAGAAAGAAAGAAAGAAAGAAAGAAAGAAAGAAAGAAAGAAAGAAAGAGAAAGAAAAAACATTGTTATTGTTAGGCTTCTAGCCGGGGACTACGGTCACGTGCGTAAGTGGCTTAGATTTTGGGTGCGAATTCTGTTTTGGATTTAGAGAGGTTAAAAAAAATGTATCCCAGGTTTCCGTAAAGACCGATATAGCGGCTAAGCCCCAGCCTAAAACTTTAATAGGACACAGAATTCTGTCAATTATCGATAACATAGCACACCTGGTGTGACACGACACTGCGTGTACCTTCCCCGTCTAGCAACGTCTGTCCCTCAATGAAAGGTTCCTACCTACATACATACATACATACATACACACACACATACAGGTGCTGGTCAATAATTAGAATATCATCAAAAAGTAGATTTATTTCAGTAATTCCATTCAAAAAGTGAAACTTGTATATTATATTCATTCATTCATTCATTCATTCATTCATTCATTCATTCATTAATTACACACAGACTGACTGATATATTTCAAGTGTTTATTTCTTTTAATTTTGATGATTATGACTGACAACTAATGAAAATCCCAAATTCAGAATCTCAGCACCTGTATACATATTTATTGTCTGACCCAGAATAGTGACACCCACCTGCCTGATGGAAATCCTACATACAGACAAATAGAAATGGCTCCTCTAACTGACGTGTAGCTCTTTTTTTGTCAATTGCTATTTTCCGGCAAGAACAGTTTGCATAGCTCGCGGTTGCCAAAAACGTAGTCCCGCCGTAGCGTTAACAGGCTGGGTCATCTGCCGGATTCTACGGCTACGGCATTAAAACCAGAACAGATGCGGGATACTTTGCGGAGGTTTTTTCCGAGAGTCTTAACATTTGTCTGTTTGTGTACATCCAGGCCCACGAGGTGTACAGCGATGAGGGTGATCCCCTCCGCCCACCTCACCGTACCTGAACGGAGACTCCTTGGACCTGGAGAACGTCACCGAGGTGGGCCCGGTCCAGTTTCAGAAGAACACCGATGAGTCCGCAGTGTGTAAAGAAAATCTGCTGTGAAATGTCAGATACGGAGGAAGTGTGTTTTTCTATATAAGCAGTTTGCTTTGTGGAGAGAGAGAGAGAGAGAGAGAGAGAGAATATGAAATGAATGAATGAGAATGAAACATGACACAACTCTTACAATGGAATAAGGTTATATCCACATCCAGGATGTGAGTGGAGTATGTGGTCCTTTTGATGTAGCCTGGGATGCATTTGTGTTCACTCTGCTTAAAAGAATGTGGCCTGGACCACCTCTGAAATTTGTACTTGATGTGTTCATCCCTGTATTTTGAGCCGACTCCTTGTGATGTGATGTATTACACGAGACGGATGTTAACACAAGGTCTGAACTGGGGGCTGTATTGTATGGGAATACAGAGCACAAACATCAGCGAGTCATATGTGACACGCACCTTTCACAAATGGGCTCTTTCGGTGCTTCGGTCCTTCTGACCCTCTGCTCGTCTCTTCTAGGGCTTCGCTCTCAAAACGAACAGCGTCAACCACTGCATCGTGGCCCGTGTCACGATTCACGGACAAGGTGAGTGTATGCATCTGCATGAAAATACCAAGCCTTGGAATGCCGGGTTATTGATTTAGCCAATTGGATTTGATGTAAAAAAAAAAAAAAAAAAAAGATGAGGTGGAGTGTTTGTTTGTTTGTTTTAAAAGAGATAACATTTATGCTCTCATGCAGTTTGTATTTAAAGAATGTTTAGTTGGCACGTGTTCTTTTATCCTCAAAAGTAAGAAAAATGTCTGTCTAAAGAAAGAGTGTGTGAAAAGAAAGCCTTTGTAACCTCGCGCAACCTCTTTGGATCCCATCTGAGCAGCAGTGCGTATTTGTCAGAAGCGTACAGGCAGTGTAAAATTTGCTGCTTACTTGAGATCTATTATATCCATGCGTGGAGACGGGCAAGGCCACGGCAAAAGCGACCTCATTGTTTTTAAACTGTTCCCGGGTTGACTTTGGATTGTTGTTGTTTTGACTGGCCGTAGGAGGCTTAGCGTTAAACTCTGTGGTTATCGGCCCGCATGCAATATATGCACCCAAAATGTGAGTGAGCCTCCACCACTCAAATCGGGCGGGATGACATAATTTGGTTATATGGCTATTTGTCCTCAATTCAATGATGATGAAATGACCACTGAGACACCTAGGGAATGAATTTACGCAGGAAAAAAAGAAATCCATTGTCCAAGCAAAATGAAGTTTCTTTGGTTTATTTCTCCATTGGCAGGCAAACAAACAAACAAACAAAACAACAATGGCATTTGCTGCCTCTCTTGCCCTGGTAACCTGCCTCACCTATACGTACCTTCAAAATAAAAGCATTCATAAGTAAGTACTCAAATAAATAATACTAAAAGATATAAGCAAACTAAAGGTGTAGTCAGCTCCAACTTTAGCATACTTTGACGTGCCGCCTTGTGTGTAGAAGTAAGCAGTGGCTTACTTGACAGTTTTATTGTGGGAATGAGAACTTTGTGTGTGTGAAATGCAAAAGTCACAGCGGCCAACAGAATGAGAAATGTAGCAAGTGTCTAGCTTTTTAGCTTTATCTAGAAGAAAATCATGTGGTATTTTGATTGATTGGAATGGGAAAGGCAAGGAGTGCTTTGTTGTGTGGTGTAGAAGGTGCTGGGGCCTAGTGGACTGAGATTGATTGATTGATTGATTGATTGTGTAGTGTGTGGTGAGGTAAGCGGTTGACAAATGGACACATTGTTTATTATTTTGTGTTGCAGAAAGAGTCCCTGGATTTGTCCAGACAGTCACCTGCAAGAAGACACGACAGTGAAGGTGTTAGCGGTGATATAAGAGTGCAATATTGGCAGGCAAACAAAGAAAGAAAGAAAGAAAGAGTGAGTTACCGGCACTCGAAGAGGGAGCATGGCAGAGACGATGAGGGCAAAAGGGGCTAGGGGCGCCCCCGGCGGCCCCTGCTCGGTGGACTCGCGCAGGTTGACTCGCAGGTCTTTACTCCCGTTGGTCTTCACTCCCGGAGGTCTGAGCACGGGGGCTGCCACTGGGGCTGACGCTGGGCTGACGCTCCAGCGCTCCTCTGCTGCTCAAGTACCGCTCCGCTGATTGCTCCCCACCTGCCCACGGCCAATCGCGGCTCGGCACCCCAGCCTTCACAGGTGCGCCTCGTTGACTGCTCCTGATTGCTCCTCGCTCCCTGCCGGAACAGGAACAGGAACACAACACACAAATTGCTCTGTTGCTTTTCTTCACATCATTCACAGTCAAAGCTACTCAAACTAAACTTCTTATCAAACATCAAGCTCACAAAAATGTCCAATTATTCATTTGTACAAAACTCAAAAGGTGGATCTCCATTACTTGCAGTGTGTGGACTGCCATGTGACACTGTTGCTCAGAGCACCTTCTCCCTGCATCTACAACCTGGACTCGTGCATTCATTTTAACTCTTTAACTTAACACACATTACTGACATTCACTGCAATAACCTTGTAGCATCTATCGCAAACGGACCATGCTTTTAGCATGTCCCAACCGCACGGAACCGCACCAAAGGTCAAAGGGTCAACTCAACTCCAGAGGATTAACCGGTG